AAGATCTTCAAGCCATAGTATGGAGCTGAGATAAGAAGAAGCACTACAAGGATATTATGTGCGCAGACTGTTAAACGAAGGGAAATGTGTGTCACAAAAATACTGGGAAAATTCAAATTGGGAAAATTCAAATTACCGATGAGCGCGAAATTTGAAGACAATTTGTGTGCATGCAATGTGTTCATTATGCAAATATTGATGAAAAAGGAGCTGTACATGTCGCTTAATCTGTTCAATATTTAACCTCAATAAAAAGCCCCACCTGCACATTTCTACTTTAAGGCAGACTTTCCAATTGCAACGGACGCTGCTTTTGTCAACGCCCCCTGGGCTTGGGCTCCATGGTTATTCTGTTAAATCAATACACTTACTATCCGCAGCGGGCTGCAACTCGTTCGTGTCGCCATCTCCAGCCTCATTGCAGGGCGAACACTCGAAATAGTTCAAGTTATAGAACTCATTCTTCAGGCATTTTTGGATATGTTGAAAGCGAAATGTATTGGGCGTTGGCGATTGTTTTGTGTCCAGAAGAAGAGTACAGTTTCCGAACTTTATGAAAACTGTTGTCCACAACAATGGGAAGAACCAATTAACCAGCAGGAAGCACATAACAATATGGTAGTTCCTTCGGGTTCGATGTATGCTCTACGAATACCAAATGGCAACTGAGTACTAGCTGCAATTGCAGGTGCACGTGGCCAGGTAAACAAATTCCTGGTGTGCGCATATTCCTTATTGTTTTCCATATGTTGCTATAGCTACCCAACCCTAAGCCATGCAAAATGCCTATCACACCTGGTAGAGGTGGTTGTGGTGTATGTGATTGCTTTGTTTTAAACCAGGTGAGTGGCTGACCACCACAGCAATGGGTTATTGAGGGCGTCTCTGGTTACGCCTCTCGCTTTGGTTATCGCGTGCCAGACGAGCTTCCTTTTTGCGTGCTGTAAATTATGATTAGCTCATTTATTTTGGTTACATTTTGGCGACGTAAGTCATTTTGCTCACAATAAGAAATATAATTAAACTCATATAGACCTACATTAAGGAATGTCGCAATGCAAATGGAATTTATGGTGGAAAATAGTTATTTCTTATTATTTGGTAAAATGCGCTTGTTTGTTATTAAATATTCTAATAATTGAATTAAATTTAAAAATTAACGTTTCTATTTGTTATCGATACATGTTTTTCGTATAACAGCTCTGACTGTAATATGCAATATTATGACACAACCATAAACATATCGACGCATCCCATAAATCGCAAATTATTATTCATTATATCGATACACTCACATGATTCAATCATCGTTAACTTGCGATTCATCGATATAATAAGTATCAACAATCCCCACTTCCTTGCCGAAGGACAACAGAAATAGACGGCAGACATATACAATTTTCATTTTTGTGTTTCTGTTAAGATCTAAACACATTTTCAATCCAATTGGACAACTAGCAAGAACCGTTAGTGTTTCAAAGATGCTCTGGTGGCGCCAGTCCAAATAGATGCAGATGCCGCTGCACTTGCAACAGTACATAGCCGAAAAATGAACAATTTGGTGAGTGTGGTGTGTGTATGCGTGCATTGGGTGGGTGAGGTGGGTGTGTATAGGTGTTGGCGTGCATGTATACGTCTGTGTATTGAGACTTAATGTGTTTGTGTTTGTGCGGCTGCTGAAACCTGATTACAGGAACACGTCAAGCACTTTTATCCAGAAAACTACAAATTGGATCTCTCGGAGACAATGAAGGCGGCACTATCCAAGGGCCCTGTGGGCGGGAACGTGGTCAATGCAGTTAGCAGCAACAGTGGCAGCAGCAGCAGCAACATCACCAGCTCGATGGGCGCACCAACACACAGCGATATGTTGCAACAACAGCCGAACGCCGGCGTTGGCTATGTGACCGAGAAGCTCTACATGCTGCTGCAGCTATATCTGCAGAATAAAGGCTGGAATCCAAGCGCAGAGCTGCTGCAGTGCTTCAGCGATCTCAAGGATAATGCGATGCTGCCCAGCGCCGCCTACTTACAGTAAGTAAAGCCAGTAACCTACTTTTATGCGAATACAAATATTTTGCCATCCTCCCTGCAGAGTACTGGCCAATCGACTAACGTTGGACTCACAGGGCAGGCTTATACTGCGCGACAATGGCAAAATTGTGCTGCCCTTTGAGCACTTTGCTAACGCGGTCATGCTGAAGCACATGTCGGGACCACATGGTCTGCATCTCAGCGTGGATGCCACAGTACGTGCTGTCATTGAGTCCTACACAATTGGACGGGATCAGTTCGGTATGGAGAAGGAATTCATCATCGAGGTTGTGCAGTCATGCCCCAGTCCTGCTTGTCGCTACTACAAGAATCACATGGGCATATCACCGATGCCGTTTATGGAGCAACAATATCCGGGCGTTAATACTCCTGATTTCTTGCAGCGTCTCTCGCATCTACCACCAAGCGCAGCAGCAGGCAGTGCTGCGGTGAGCTCAGCAGCTTCCAGCGCTGCTGCTGGCGTCGCCAGTGGCAGCAACAATGCTGTTCCAGTAGAGATTGATTTGTCAAAATCGAGCGGCTCCAAGGTGCCGCCACAGTTGCAGCACTTAACCAAGCAGCAGCAGAGCAGCATACAGTCGCAGCTGTCACAAATAAGTGCAGCCGCTGCTGCAGCACATCATCAGCAACAACAGCAACAACAACAGCAGCAACAGCAGCAACAACAGCAGCAGCAGCAGCAGCAACAGCAGCAGCAGCAGCAACAGCAAGCACAGGCTCAAGCCCAGGCAAAACACCAGCAACAGCTGACAGCTGCATTGATTCAACAGCAGAATCGTGTGCTTGCCCAGCAGAGCCTGGAGAAGCTTAGCAATTTGAGCGCTTTGGAGAAGCAACGTGTATTTGCACAATTGGATCCCAAACACTTTGATCCAATGGCAGTTGCCGCAGCTGCAGCCAATTTGCAAATTCAAGGCATGATGCAGTCGCAAGCTGTGGCCGCGGCTGTGGCCTCCAATCAACAGCAACCAATACCGCTAGCTACGAGCAACTCTTCGGCAACGGTCAGCTCCAGCGTTAGCGCGCAGGTGCATAATACACATCATTCGTTACCGCCGCCTTCGCAGTCGCCGCACTCGTCGTCATCGTCTTCCTCGCACTCTTCGATGGATCAGCTACCGCACAAAAATATTTCGGAATCATTGAGGTTAGTTTTTATTGTTATATCGTTCGCTCACTTAAGTCTAGTTCTTTCTTTCTGACTAGATCCAATCTGGACTCGATTGAATCGAACAAGGATCTGTTGGCACTGCACAATGGCGCCTGGGCCAGCCACGATGCCAATCGCATAGATCACATGACTGTTAGCCAGGACAAGATTGTGCGCATTTTCTCGGAGCTAATGCGTAACATGTCGCGCATGAAGACTTACATACGCCCCTCAATGTGCAAGCCCTATGGCAAACAGAGCGAGAGTCTGCAGAAGAGTAAGTTAATCTGGTTAAGTAGCTGTTCAACTAAAACAACTTACTCGTCGCCCACAGCTCTCATGGATACTATTCAAATTGTGCAAACTTTGCGTAATTGCTTGCCGGCACCTCACATTCCAGTTTCGTCCTGGAAAAGCGAGAGCGAGGGTAGCGTTGGTGTTGGCGCGGGCGTAGGTGTGGGCGTGCCTCCAGGCTTGGGCATGAATGCGCTTGGCTTGCAATCCGGTAGAGTGGACAACTTGCACTAAGTGGATCCAAGGCGAAAAACGTAGTTGAATCGCAGCAAAATACATTAGGTAATGTCTTAATATTCCCCGCGATTCCAAGCATCAATACAGTATTTATATAGACTAGATTATCATCTTCATAGGCTTGGCTCATGGTTTTCCAATCAACTATTATGTGCCATGTTCAACACAAGACTTGATTTCATTTTAATATTTGACTGATTTTCATAAAACAATGTCACTAGCTAAAAGTGGTGCATCACTTTTAGATTGTGTCACACGTCTAAGATTAAGCAGCACTCCAATGTCCAATCCATACCTATAAGAGTTGTTTATTTTCTTCATTTACTTACTTACTTTGTTTTCATTTTTGATTCGGCATAAACGAAATTGACAAAGCATATTAATTCAATTGGCAAAAAGTCTGTGATATTTAAATTATGTTTAAATCAGCAACTAAACAAAAACATACCTAAATTTAATTAATTTATAATTGTGTGCCCTTTGTTGTGTAAACTACAATTTACTTTGTGCAATATTACAAAGTGTCTCACTATTTACCTATTTATTCTTAATCACTTTTGTGCAATTGAAAACTTTTCACTCATATCAACAGAGCGTAGCATTAAATCAACTCAATAATATATTAATAAAGGCGTCCTGCCTATACTACATAATAAAGGATATTACATATTAGGCATATACACGCGTACACATACAATTAAATAAGATATTTTGCTAGATTATGTCGTGAATAGAAACAAACGTTTCAAGCAACGAGAAGTTGTATTAATTTTTAAGCAGCAAATGGGTTGTAATTCGACTACATACATTCTTACGCATAAGCTTATATTATATTTTATTCCATGCCCACACACATTGAATTAACGAATTCGTATCAAGCAGTATTAACCAGAAATAAAGACACAAGCAAGCCCTTAATAATTACCTAACTAAAATGAAACAATTAAAAGAAACGGTACATATATATATTATTGCATAATATCGCTTAATGTTTACCTGTCCAATCAAATAAAGATAAATATTTTATTCTAATCCAAATATGTACATCAGAATGTTTTAAATTGTGCGCACAATCTTTTATAACTTAGTTGGCAACGCCGTCATCTGCATTGTTGATATTAATAAAAACATCGATATTTATAGCATTTGTGAGATCAGAAATATCGTATGCACATTTAATTATCGATACATGCAATCGATATCAACTTCCCTACCGTCTGTGCTTGAGCACTGCGTTTTTCGTTGATAATTTTTTAAAATTAAGTTTTAACGTATTTATTTAGTAATTTATTCGTTTAAAATAGTTGCAAAGTGCTTAACAAAGATACCACAACGTTTTGCTTTATATTTTATGTACTTTCGTGTGCGCGCTTTGTGTGAAAATGTGAAAAACATTGCCGAAGGTATTGGTAATTGGAGAACGTTTTTTCTATTATTTTATCTCCTCCTCTTCCGCTTCGTTTTGTGTAGTGCTACGCTCTTTGTGCTCCTGCTCCCACCAACCAAATGCGTGCTACTTGCTAGTGTGTGTGAAAATAAATAACAAAAAAGTTGCGCACTGCAAATAAAACTAAAACCCAAAATGCAAATGTGTCTTTACCAAAAACTAATTGTTGAGTTTCCAACAACATGAAAATGATAGCAGACGCTCCCCCAATACGGTGCCGAGCTGGCATATTTTGCTACGCGACGCCGTCAATTTGTGGGATAATCAACGGCCGCGAACTACTCGCTCTGTGCAAGGAATTTACAACAACAAAAACAATGTTTTGTGCGCGCTTAGAGAACAATAATGAAATGTGCAACTATAGCTTTACAAGTTATACTGATATGAAGTGAGCTCGTTGAGTAGGCAACAAATTTCGTTGTGAGTTACACAGCATCTTTAAACATATGGCAGTACATATGTGTACGTATGTATACGTCCGAAGTCCAATGGGACGTGTTGATAACCATATTTGTGATTATGCGTAGATTTTATTTTATTTTTTTTTTTACTAATAATCGTGCTTTAACTATATGCCGGCTGCGTGCTACATGTAACTGTAATTGTTATTGCAACGGTATCTGTTCATTGTAATTAAAAGTTTCCAATTGTTCATAACCTAGGACACATTCCATAGTGCGCCTGTTGTTGTTGCACATAAAGCAACCATGCATGTAAATTCAAACGTACGCTTAAATTAAAAACTAAACAAAATGGCAGTTGGTGGAGCACGCAGCAACGTTCTTGGGTGTGAGCGCCGGACACTCGCTCAGAGAGAGAGAGAGAGCAAGAGAGAGAGAGAGGCGAACGAGTGAAGTAGCGAGTGTTGCTCGTGTCTTGAGTTAACGTGGAAAGTGTTTGTCTGTGTAATAACATGTGTGTGTATGTGTAGGGTATGTTGTGTGTGTATGAATGTGCGTGTAACAAAGTGTGGAGTAAGAAGATGGAGCACAAGATATATAAAAACAAAATGCGAGCGTGTAAAAACAACAATAAATGCCACAATATAATACTCGAAAACATTTTTAATTGTTTGTGTTTTAGTGTTTCTCAACAGCAGTGAATATAACTGTTGTGTGCATCAACAGTGACGACAAATGTGTGAAGCTGTATGTGTGCGTGTGCATGTATGCTGAAAGAAAAACAACACACAAATAGGAAAAAATCAAACCAAGAAGAAACAGAAACAGCCAAATATATATGTATATATAGAAATTGATGTAAAGTTTAGCGGCAACAACACAACATAACTAATGTACGGCGTGAAAATGCTGCAGCTACTGCTGGTACGGCTGAAAAAATGACCGATGAGCGCAACGGTAACGGCAATAAGAGCAATATCCACAGCAGCAACAGCAGTCCGACGAGCATCGCCAGCACTAGCACCAGCCACAACAACAACAACAACAATAATAATAATAATAGTAGTAGCGGTAACAGTACAAGCGGCAGCAGCAACAACAACAACGAGCTCTTAATTGCAGAGGCGGCTGCAAAGTTTTTACTCAAAAATGGTATAAACGGGACAAACACAGCAGCAGCAGCAGCGGCAGCAACACTGCTAACAGCAGCTGCAGCTGCTGTCACATTTCAACTGCCCGCCGCACCAGAGCTGAAGCCAACATCAGCAGCAGCACCTACAGCAACAGCAACAACTTTAGCTACATCCTCAACAGCAGCAACATCCAATGGCACCTCGCCCACATTATCATCGACTAAAACTAACAGCAGCAGCAACAGTAGCAGCTCAAGTCTCACAATGGCGACGGCCTCTGCTACGGCGCTCCTTGCCGCCGCTGCCGGCGTTGCAGCTCCAAAAGCAACCGCCGATGTTATGGCCGGTGTATTGGACTATAGCGCACTGAATGGGCCCAGTGCCACCGCCACAAAGAGCAGCAAATTTGGCGGTACAGGCAACGGAAGCAGTAGCTTTGATATGGGCAGGCATCCGATATCAACGCACAGCAACAATAGCATGTCCGGCTATGGAGGACGACTGCAGTTTTTTAAAGGTCAGTAAAGAAGTCGCCATATTTCCAAGTCAAGGCGGACACTGCACAAAACCAATACACTCTATCAATATATACATTGATAATAGTTCTTCCATTCCATATAGACGTTTTTATATTTAATCTAAACTGCTCTTTCTTTATTTTAAACAACATTTAAAACTAATGCTATATGTTGCAGATGGTAAATTTATATTGGAATTGGCACGTGCTAAGGACGGCGATAAGAATGGTTGGGTATCAGTGCCGCGCAAGCCATTTCGTACGCCATCGGCAGCTACATCGGCTACGGTAACGCCCACGTCGGCAGTGACAACAACGTATCCAAAGAACGAAAATTCCACATCGTTAAGCTGTAAGTGGGCCAGAGCAATAAACATATACAAGAGTTCGATCTTAACAAATTTTATAATTGCAGTTTCGGATGACAATAGCTCCATACAGTCATCGCCTTGGCAGCGTGACCAACCCTGGAAGCAGACGCGACCGCGTCGTGGCATCTCCAAAGAACAGTCGCTCTATTACCAGCGTCCCAGGTACAATGTGCTTAGCCAAAGTGCGCGACAGGCTGCGATGCGTAAGCGACGTCGTCCGTACGAGCCAACGCTCGCTAGCGAGGATCATCATTCGATTTTTGAGCGTGTTTCCACGCACGAAAATGGCGATGAGACGCTAAAGGCTATAGAAGCTGATGCAAAAGCGGCGGAAAAACAGTCGGATGAGATTAAAGCAGTAGCAATCAAAGAGGAACTGAATGAGGACAAAACAGAGTCGGAATCAAAGGCGTGTTCCAATGCTAGTAATGAATCGAATAATGATGCAGTTAAAGCGGGGGCAACCATGGAGAAAATGAACACAAGCGAAGATGAGGATGCTATGTCGGTGACAGTGGACGACGGGACGGCCCCAACGAGCGATAGCTTGGTAAACGGCACTGCGAGTGAACTGAATGGCGATCTCAAGGCCCACACAAAGTGTGAGGCAGGCAGCGAGATTGACACAAGGACATCAGCAGCAGCAACAACATCAACATCAACGATGAAGACGACAGACATAAGACTTAAAAAGCAGAAACCCAGAGCTAAGCTCAATAGCATCATACAGAAACTAATTGATGGCGTGCCTGCGCGCCTCGAGCAATTGTCAAAGACACCAGCGACGGCGGCAACAGCATCAGTAATGGCGTCAACAGCAGAGCGAAGCAGCAGCAACAGCAGCGGTGGCGGAGCCATCGGTAGTCTAAGTCACTCCTTGGCGCACAAGGTACGTGACCAGTTCACAGTTGATTCTATACGAATTAGAAATTGCTCTAGTTTATGAATATTCCTTAGCTTTTCCCGGCTCATACTATATCTTTTGATTTTCAGGTCTCGCCGCCATCGTCGGCAGCGGCTGCCAGCCGTCTAGTCGAATATCATCATCAGCATGTGTCTCCGCGCAAGCGAATATTGCGTGAATTCGAGAAGGTATCGCTGGAGGATAACAATGGTTGCGTGAACAATGGCAGTGGGGTAGGTGGAGGCAGTAGCGGCGGTGCCGGTGGTAAGCGTAGCCGCGCCAAAGGCAGTTCAACAACCGGCGCTGTAGCCAGTAAGTCGATGCCCATGAATCTGGCACCGCCACAGGCCAAAGCGCTGACTACGGCCACAACTACAACAACGGCAGTAGCAGCAGTGGCTGCCCCAACGCAACCAACCCGACTGAATAGCTCCTATAGCATACATTCGCTGCTGGGCGGCAGCGGTAGCAGCTCCTCCTCGAAGAAGAGCCACGATCAGCCGGCCACAATAATCAGCAATGTGCATCATCCGCATCATCATTCATTGTACGCCAGCTCCGCAAGCTATCCACGCGCGCTGCTCAACTCACCCAAGTCACCGGAAATGGGCAGCAGCAACGGAGGCAAATCACCGTCACATGCGGTTAGCAAGAAGCAACGTTCGCCGCCTTATGCCGCTGCGGGATCGCCGCTGCCTATCGACTATGGACGACGCACACCCCCAGACAGCTATAAGTTGGCACAGGCGCATGCACAGCATCTACAGCATCATTCCTTCTATGCGCCTTATGTAGGCGCTGCTGTTTCGCCGCACATTCCACAGGCAGGCGGCGGCGGCGGCGGCACACGTGACCTGCTATCGCCACCGCGCTCATCAAGCGCTTCGCCACGTGAGCCTGCCGCCACTGCCAATACGCCGCACCGCACTGTGCCCAAGAAGACTGCATCGATACGACGCGAATTCGCCTCACCAACGGCCAGCAATAGCAACAGCAGCAGCACGGCGAACAGTTGCCCCTCGCCAGGCGAGCGCAGCACATCGTCGCCGGAACGGCGGCATCTTCAACTGCAGCGTGGCTCGCCTAGCGCTGCTGCAGCTGCAGCTGCTGGTTCGCCCTTGCACTATTACATGTATCCGCCGACGCAGCTGAATGGAAGCGGCACGGCTAGTCCGCATGGAATAGCAACCAATGCAACACCTACAACAAGCAGTGCAGCAGTGGCCGCAGCTGCTGCGGCTGCTGCAGCTGCATACATTCCATCGGTAGTCTCGCCCTCGCTCTACCATCCGTACATATCGACGCTTGCCGCGCTGCGGCATAATCCGCTGTGGGTGCAGCATTATCAGGCGGGTGCATCGCCACTGCTGCCACCACCGCCACCACATCCACATTCGCACCCACAGACGAGTACCGCGGTCGGAGCGCGATTATCGCCACAATCGCCGTATCATCCTTTTGGCTACAATAATGTAAATGCGGCTGCTGTTGCCGCCGCAGCGGCTGCAGCAGCCTCTGCTTTTGGGCAGCCAACATCGAATCCGCATCTGGGACATCCAACGCATCCAGCGGCGATAGCACATCATAATACGCCGCCTACACATTTGGCCGAGCACAGAACGCACACGCCAAAACTGACTGATATTTGTACTGACCAAATGTCTGCAGCGTCCAGTCATCGCACCACCGTCTCCAGCTCATCGGTCAGCTCTAGTGCGTCCGTAACGGCTGCAGGTGCTGCGCACGGTGGCGGTGTCAGCAGCGGCCCCGACTCAGTACAATCCGCAATGTTTCAAAATAGTAGTCTAAGGAATGAACTAAGTTCAGGTGAGCCCCATTGAGAGATTTACAAAGCTTTGATATACAAATTAATATTCTTTTATTTCAGACTTACCACTGAATCTGTCAAAACACTGAGACATACGAGCCCCCACTCCAGCATTCCCCATGGCCCCTTCCATCCCAGCTGCTTCAGTGTCTGTGGGCAACCCCTCGAGTTAAGTACATTATTGCACTAGTAGCGCTTAAGACGACATTCAAACCACACTACACACATAAAATTATTACATAAGTTAGCTGCTATTTATTAGTTGTAACTCAATTGTTTTGCATTAAGTTAGCTAGGGTTTATTCTAAGGCCGAGAGACAATTCAAACAACAACAACAAAAAATAGGAAACTGCGAGCTCATCGAAATAAATTTTAGAATGTTTTCAAAATCGTTCGAAAACTATTTATGCAATCAGTTAGGAGTATAAATAAACAACTAAATTATTTGGCCGTCATATTCAATAACCAAACTTAAGAGTAAATTTATATAATATATATATATTTTTTTAAATTCCCATAGGATGCACGTCTTAAAGAATCTCAAAAAAATATTTAAAGGCCGTTATATCAATGTCCAGTTGCAACAAAAAAAAAATAATACATTTGTTTCAACTGCTCATTGAAAGCTCGGGCATAAGATTTCTTATCAAAACATTTCCTTGAAACAGACTGAACCTTAAAATTTTTAGAGAGAAAATAAAAAACGGTAAAAAATTTAACATATACGACTGCATCTTACTTTTATATGCATGTGTGTATGTAACAAAACACTTTGAAAATAAGAAAAACTTAAAAAAAGCAAATCAGATTTTTAAAGAATGCGTGTGCCTTTGAACATGAAAATATATCTAGGGATTAAAAACGGAGAGTAAAGTACCACGAAAAAACTTACAAATTGAAATATTCACACATATACAAAACTGTTAACATGCATGTTATTCTAAACTGCATGCTTAACGGTATACCATACAAATGAGGTCCAAAATACAGATGCAAATTGCAAACAATTGACACTCGATTTTGTATTAAGTCCTGGCCATACTTATATTTTTTTATCTAATCTTGTAATTTATCATATTAGTAATCTCCTATTTCTTAAAATTGTAAATGAATATATAGCAAAATATTTTTGATTATATTTTGCTATGTTTTCATTTAATAATGAAAATACTATAAAATATATAGATATTTCAAATATATTATATTTAATTGAAAAGTTCAAGATTAAAGCTCGTTTGAATTGATCTTATTCCTTTCAATTGAAAGCACAGAGAATTTTCCTGTATGGCTGTACTTAATATAAAATGGTCAATATCGCCAACACAAGAATTGCAAAAATGTACAAAAAGAATGCTACGTCTACATATACAGAAAATATTTACAAGAAACACAGACCTATATTTCGTACAACTGAAACTAATACAAATAAATGAAAAGAATATATATTCCTAAAAGTAAAAAAGACAAAAAATATTTCTCATATTTTCTAAATTATTTATATAATACAAATGACTATTTATATGTTATGCTATAAGTAAAAATAGTTGTAATATTTGTAAATACAGTATTTTTACACCGACAACAATGTAAGAGCAACAGCAACAAATGAGTAAACAAATAACCCATATTTTTAATATACAACTATTTTTTTAGTGGATATTAACTTGATATATTGATGTATACACAATAATAAAATCTAAACGATTCCGTAACCTAAATAATTCCCAATGAACGCTGACATGTTATTCATAGTTAGCGTTACGTAAAAATGTAGATCAACATAAAATGAAAAATTCTTGAACTGATCCACCTAGGGTCTATAATATTTTGTTTTAAAATCATAATATTGGTACTGTGTACAACGTATTTGTTTGATGAAATTGTAGCGTTGTTTTGAATATATTTCATCCATTTGTTTATATGTAGATCGCTGGCAACGTCGATTTTTAAATGTACTGTGTGCATTCAAGACGCTGTTTGGCGAGGTTTTAAATACTAGAACCGCGAACCTAACTGAAATACGCGCGATAGGGTTATATAGTATAGTAAACACATATTGAATACTGCGTCGTCTATATGGTCATGAGATGAGTGTAAAGTAAATCGGAAACAAAACTAGTTTTAGAACAAATAATATATTTTATATACATGCATAAAACTGAAACTGAATTATTGATGTCAAATAAAATTTATACTAAATGATTTATAAAAACTTAAAAATTAATTGCAATTACGCTAGCGTTATTTCTAGTTATTCCTTGATTAACCTTAATATTTCATGAATGAGAATATTTGCAATTTCTTTCCACAAGTGGTAAGTTTAAAATTTCCTTTTAAAAAAAACTTGTATTTTCCTAGATCCATAGAATATTACCAAAGATAATACAAATGCCAAGATGTTGCTTTTAGAGGTACCTAATTTTCGAAGCACATGCAGCACATACGATTTTCATAAAGTGTTATCCGGCTGACCTATATCGAGATTATATTTTCATAAATTGTGTACTGAGCTTGGGTCAGAAAAGAACTGATAACTTTTTGTGCTGGTAGTTAAATAATTATTTTAAGTTGAACTATGGATTATATTATTATATGGGATATAATTTAAATTAAGATATATCAAAATACCTTATTTACTTGTATTTAAATGAGGAGGTTTTGGCGCCTGGGTTGGAGGTCAACTTGGAGGCCAAGAATTGGCCTTTCTAAAATTGATATTTCAAATTGACCGGAAATCATTATGCGCCTATAATATTCAGCTTTTACTTGGAATTTTGTAAACAGCCACAATTAGTTTAACCTTAACTCTCATATCACTTATTTACTTTTTATAAAAAGCTTATAGGGTATAAAGGTATTTAGTACCCACCTTGCAGCAAAAAAGACATGATCTTCCCACATGAAGAATATATAAGATATAAACATTAAATTTATATGAGGATGATGTAAAAGCTATCAGCCGAAACATACTGCACCATTACTTGAAAATCGCGATTCAAATAAATGTAAATATAATTTTGGGAGAGATCATGGTCGACGCAAGTAAACTACTAAAATCATTTTTTTCAGGAGCGACATTGAATCCAGTGAATAAACCCATGAACAAACATACTTTTGTGTATGCACACATCCCATCCATGTTCAACTTGCAATTGGGGGACCGAGCGACGAGGTATTGATCTCGTTTATCTTATCAATGTCCTACGAGGTATTTATATTGTCTTTGATTTTATAATGTGTAAAAGTTTCTTTGCAAATAATTGTATTTGAGTTGTGTAAAATTAACTCTACTTTAAGAAAACACAATCGATTTTGGTGTTGCATACAGTCTATTGAAGAAGCACATTTTATTTATTTTTGTTGTATGTTTCGGTTACATCACCTTTACATATGTATATATGTCGTGTATGCATGCATACATTTATGAATTACCCGGCGTAATTAATATATTTGATGCAATTGTTTTTCATGTATATATGTATTTAGTTCCTTTGAATTGCTTTCATCATTCATTCATATATATAAAATGCATTATAAGATAAGCATAAGATTACAAAAACCATTAGACAAAAAAAAATTGTTTCTTGCGATTGCATCAAAAGAGAATAATTGGAGTATAGTATAATAACTTATAATTTACAAAAAGTTACAAACTTAAATTTAATACATATAATAATAGGATACATTCAGAATAATTTGTATATGTCAGTGGTTTTTGTGTATGGGGGCATTTGTATGAAATCAAAGCCAATTGAAGAACAAAAAGAAAAACTTGAAAACACTTGTTACAATTTGACAAAAAAAGGAAAAATGAATAGGAGCAGTGTGGAACAACACAAGCATATAGACAGTTTATATATATTAATATATTGGGTATTTGTGTGTGTAAATTGGCCTAAAATAGTGAACACATAGTTTCTAACTCAGTTAAATGGTTTTTATAAAAAATTGTACTACAACTTTTCTGGAAACGGAAACACAGAAATGTGGACAAAAAGTTACAGTAGCTGCGGATTTTGTTTTAAGATAAATTGGTCAGGGTTCTATCTGAATTGGGTGAAGTAAGCGCTACATCTTTCTGGCTGCATTTGTAATTAAAAGCAAGTGGATTCCGATAGAATGAAGTCTTCTTCTAGGGTCACATCAAAATCATGTCCCTTTTTATTTTAAGTCACAAGACGGATCAGACCTATAATAATCCTCATGCAATGCTTACAATACAAGCACAATTTTGCGTTTTGCCAATTAATCAATAATACACAACATTTGTAGTGTTTGCTATAATCTGGATATGATGTATAATTTGCTGTCAGATCCACGCTTTCAAAAAACACCCCGAGATTATCATATTTCAAAAAACCATAAAACACAAAAGGTGTTTTTGTTGTTGCTTGTTATTGCAACAAAATTAGAAAGAAAAAAACAATAGAGTACATAGTAACCTTAATAATTATAATAAGCGTACAACTTAACCAATGCAAAAAAGTTAGACGCTTAGATTAAATATATATAATAATAGGATACATTCATCATAATTTGTATAGGTGTGGTAAATCAAAAGCAACAAAAGAACGAAATAATTTGGAAACACTCTTACAAGTTGAAAACAAAACATTACAGAAAAGAAAAAATTATTGGAGCACTTATGGAGCGACAGAAGCGTATGGGCTGATAACCTTTCTAAATTAGTGTAGGTGTATGGGTGTGTGTGTGTGTTTGTGTGTGTGTGGGTGTATTGGCCTTATATAGTGAACACATAGTTTTGAACTCGGTATTATGTATTATATAAAAAATTGTACTACGCCTCATCCGGAAACGGAAACATAGAAATGTAGACCGAAAAGTAACAGGAGCTGCGGATTGTGAGGGAGTGTGTCTGTCTGTGTGCATTTGTTTTTATCTCGCAATAAAAAATTATAGTCGTTTGCGACTGCATTTTGCAGTTTACTGTTTGTTGTTTTTAGAGAAATTGTGCGAGGCCCAATTGAGTGAAGTCTTCCACGAATTGGCCAGAGCTTCACTGAATTTCGCTTGGAAATGTTTGCGCGCATTTTCCTCCGTGTAATCCAGCACCTGTTCAAATACATGTTAGATGCGTGCGTGATATATTTAAAGTGCATGGCTTACCAAAGTCTCACGTAAATAGTTTAAGTCCTTTTCGGAGGACAGTTCCGGCAGTCCCGTTGATATCATCATTGAGAACAGCGATAGTATAAGGCAGCCGTGTTTGCGTAATATTAAAAATGCCTAAAGTATAAATACGGAAGTGGTTTCTTAGGTGTTGTTAACCAGAACTTGAACGATGTTTCAACTTACACGCTCGCACAAAGTCTGAAAATAACAGAACTCTTTTGCCTCGCGATCGATACAGCCTTTGTTAATGACGTAGACAAAGTCATGTGTAAGCACAAAGGGCACACGTTCGCGACGCACACCAAACTTCTCCTTAAAGTGGCCCAAAATGTGGCCAAAGTCAATATGGAAGAGCTTTTGAAAGGGTAATATGTATAGCATGATTACTTTTACATACAAAATGTGATCCAATTTGCTTACCTGTCCGTTGCGCTTAACCATGATATTGTCAGAATGACGATCGGCTACGCCCAGCACGTATGTCGCAACGCAGTATCCAGCACAGCTGAGCGTAAACTCGTTAATGGCTTTGTTAAGTTTCTCGGGCGCCTTGTTGTGCTCCTTAAGCCAGCTGTAGAGCGAGCCCTTCTTAAATGGCGATGTTGCCGAAAACATGCCCTTTTCCTTTTGTATATTCGCAATTGTCTCCGAATGACGCACCACTTCAATCATGCCCAAACGTTGCTCCATGCTGATACAGTTGTAGATGTTCATGCGCAAATCCAATCTATCAAAACAGATATATTTGAGTTATTAATAAATCCCTTAGCTACCTTCAATCTAAAACGCACCCTTCACGCTTCCACAACTGATCCATGACGCGGAGCATTTGCAATGTAAGCATGTCCTGGCGAAGATCATCGCCGTTTTTAAATATGATGTACACATCGTTGGCCGTCTGATCGACGTTTTCGAAAACCACCCAGAGTGGTCGCATTTTGCTGTCCATCACCTTGCATTTATCGGGCGTCACGCGACTGCATCTGAAGCTCGGATTTAAGGGGTTTTGGATATTTTGGAAGACGCCGTTATTGTGCTCGTTGCGCAGGAACTTCTGAAGTACGTTGCGCACTTTCTCCTTGCTGCCCTTCTTAGCTATCACGGAGCCCTGCTTGAGCTTTTCCAGTACTTCGAGCTGTTTTCGCAGTGGTTTCACATGCTGTTTGCAACCTTTAAGATAAGCTTCTAGAAGCAGGCCAAAGCGAGTCTGCATACAGGGTGTTTGCATTTCGGATCGCAGATGCCAGAAAAAGTAGTGTCCTATGCGCTGATTGCGCAAGGCTCGCTCCAGCAAAAATATTACCAGATCGTTCTCCAAATACGACTCGTGCCTAATTGCCTGCACCAGCTGCAGTAGGTACAACAGCAGATCCTCATCCCTGCGAATAAATATACAGAAATTAGAGATCAATTTGTACGGACTCAATGGCGACTTACTTGAGATTATGCAGACACTTGATAGCAAATCCGCGTACTGCTGGATCGGGAAAGGCATAATCTAACAGCTCCAGCGAGCGTTCGATGGAGATAAGCGGCCACTGCTTGAGCAGATACCAAATGTCGGCCACATCATCACGGTCTTTCCAGTAGACGCAGTGCAACAGCACGGGCAGATCTTCTGGAAATTCGCGCAAAATATCGTTTCTGAAAACATAAATTATGATTAGTATATGGTAAGTCGATTGAAGATTACGCAACCTTAGTTAACTCACTTGCGCTCCCATATGGTATTCCGGTCTTGATCGACCATTTCGTAGATTTTATCTTTGCCCGAATAATTGGCTAGCAGGACACCAAGGAGTGTTTTCTCAGGGTCTGCGATTGGCTGTTGCTTATCGCGGTTGGCACGATCTTCTGCATATTGTAGCACCTCTTCCTCGCTTGGGTAGCAGACATCTTCATTGCTGCTGTCGTTGGCGCCCTGGTGGAATGTCAGATGCACCATGGCGCAACCGTCTTTGCGCGGATTCGACTCAACAGTGCCCAGAGGATAAAAGACATCATCCGATTGTATGTCGTCGGCATATGTCCAGGTGTATAGCGTTTGCCGTCCCTTGCGCAATTGGTTCTTGTAGTCAAAGAGCGTGGTATTGACCCAAGCCAATGGATTATTATTGTAAAAGACATCCTTGAGCGTGCTGCTGTTATTAGAAGATTTTTTCGAGCGCGACATTTTGGTTACCTCAAACACCACGATACACAGACGCGTCATGCGTGGCAGGTTACGCATTTGTATATCGAATTCCATCACATTATCATCAAATTGAAAGTCTTGCGAACTGCCACAACTGGATGCATCAACGCTGCGCTGGGCACACAGCTTGCGCTTGCCGTGATAGAGCCCAACATGGACACCCACTTTAAAAGCGCGTGCACGATCAAAGTTAACATTGGTGACGCCGTGTAGTGTTAATGTAAAGTTAACCTCCTCCAAATCCCACAACATTGTAATGGGCTTGTGCAGTGTCGCTGTGGTTTGCCGATCCGGCTTTGGTGGGCTCTTCAGGCCCAGACTTTGCTCACTGTAGTGATTGATGTAGGACTCGAGACGCAGCACCGACTGCAGAACCACATTCGGCACCGCCGCATCGGAGAGCGCCTCTTGTATGTACAGGAACTGTATCAGCGGATGATCACCAAACAGATACTCATCCCGGCCGCTCACCTTGAGTATATAGTCGGCGGCACGATCGTTCATCTTCATCTGTGAACGATTCATCTTCTGCAGTGTGCTGTCGATCAATGAGAGCGGAGTATCGTTCTCCACCACAGACAACGTGAACGTGCTCTGATCATTCTCGTTCTTGACGGCAATAAGAAATGCTGAGCTTGGATGTCTCTGTCGTATAAGTTCCGGCATGGTTGTCGAGTTTGCCAGTCGCAGTGGATGCTCGTAAAGTAAACGCTGTTGCCACGAATATTTCGATCGCTCTATTTTAATGTTATCGCAGATTAATGCCACTTTTGTACGAAAGTGATCCACCTCCGGTGTGCCCTGAGTGTTCTGATGATCGAACGACTTGCCAATGATATCAGTTACCATTTTGGTCAGCTCATAGTCGCTGGAAAAGGTTGTCGTATCCGTGCGTTCACCCAGACTCAACAGTCCAAAGTAGGGCTGCACCTCAAACAGACGCTTCGTCTCGTCCGTATATGGCTCGATGGTGTAGTGCGAGATGCCATATACCAGATAATCGCATGCATCCTTAATCAAATAGCCCAATGGGCCACATTTCGCCTGTGTCACCATTTCCACTTTAACCTCGCGTATGGTGGCCGTTGATTTGGCGACCAAATAGAGCATCAGCCCGTTGGGCATCAGGCATGTTAGATGGACAACGTCTGGCGGATCGTACTTCCAGAGATCAATCGCGAATCTGCTGCACATGTATTTGTCCTTTGAAAATGTCATATCGGCCATAGCTTATTTTGGATATATTTTAACTATATTTTAAATATATGTACATATGTACTTATAATTAAAGTAGCTACTCTCGCTCTCTCCTCTCTCTCTCTCTCTCTTTCTCTGGCGCCTTTTGTCGAACTCTCTTGATCTTTCGCTTGTCTTTCAATTGTTTCGAGTGCAGTATCGATTTTGTTTTTCCTTGTTATCAGCAAATATTCCTTTAATTCTTGTTGTCGTTGGTGCACATATTAAGTGCATATTGCTGTTGTTTTTGTTACTTTGCAGCTCTTTCCATTCAAATTAACGTCGCAGCCATCGCGTTCTCTGTATGGGAAATAAATCAAAAGGTGGCGCCGAGTTATTGCAAAAGCAAACAGATGGATATTAGCCGCCCACTTTGATAAGATGGCAGTGATTTAGAATATATATGCACATATATCGCACTTGAAAAACTTTGAAATGTTTAAATTAGCATCTATTCTAACATTCGGAAAAAAAATTATATATTTTTTTTTTAAAGATAATGGGCTTAGATTAATAAATTGAAATAATCATTAGAATAAACAATAGATGAGAAGATTTCATTGACTGAACTCGTAAATTTTGACATTTTAGCTCGCCGTATGGATTAAAGCTCCAAAAAGATTGACTTTATATTTAGTATGATTCATACATTATAGCTACAAATATGCACAGCGGGGAGGGGTTGCGGCGGCGACAATGGCAATGGCGAACAAGTCAAAAAATAAATTTGAAAATTGTATGGCGAAGTTGGCATACTCTATGCGCTGGCCAAAGTTACAATTCATTAGTAGTTAAAGTACCCCTTTTTTTATAATCTCGAACATAGTTTATATTAACAACCGAATGCACTTTATGGCTAAATTTGTATGGCCAACATTTGCGCACTACAGCATCATTGTCCCCAGTTGCAGCACAAAGCAGTTGTACTGCACACGGGTAAGGGCAAAGAGTCCATTAAGTTACGCGGCACGGCCTTTGACGTCGAAGTCTCATCTGTAAGTCGCGAAACTTTGAAATTATTATTGCATAGAACACAACAAAACGCAATTAAACTTTACAGCTGATTAATTTCTAATACATTTCAAACTTTTCCATTTGTTTTTATTGTTGTTTTTATTACCGAGTCTGTCTTCGCACACACGCATGACACACACATGCACGCATATAAATATGTACATATATAGTATATGTTTTTTGGGTGTGAGCTGCGCAAGCCTGCTAGTTGTGACCCGTCCAATGTTGCCCGCGCGCGGGCAAACACCAAATATTACTGCAGCACAAAAAACGCAATTAAACCGTTAATATTGTATTTTTTAAACTTTTTATTCTTCTTTTTATTTTGATGGCCTCTTTTCTCCTTGTTTACTTGTTGAAATAAATCCAGTGCTGTATAGGTGCGATATTTCTCAACGATTCAGAGCTGTACAATCGAAACGATAACGATTAACTTAACGAAATGGTCACTGTTGCGACGGCCCTGGCACAAAAGTAAACAAACAAAGTGAAAATTTCGCAAGTAAAACGGCGAAAAATGTGTAAAAAATCGCGCTAAAAATGTGAAAATCTGCACAACGTATTTTAAGTGACTCGCTTGGTGCTGTGCAACATAAACGTGTTGAAAGCAGAGCGCAAAGCGCTTTATATGACAAGGATATGAAAAATAGTGATGACTCCGATGAGGGTAAGTAAAAGTCAATAAACTAGCGTTGGCACAGGGTGCTTAAGTGCCTAAATTGCCAAATGGGCGCGCAAAATTACAATTTTAAATGTCAATAAATTGAAATGTGATACAGCCAGATAGGCATATGAGTTGGAAATGCTTGATTAGGCATTCACATTCACACTTGCGCCCCTGAGATATTTGATACACATCAACTATGAATGTAAACAAATAACTACGCACACCTGTCCATGGTATACCCAACCATGACCCATACCCAATGTGCAACAGTTGTGGGATTTGTGTGTCTTGCGCAGTGCGTGCAACGGCTTCAATGAATGAAGTCTTGGTCGAAGCGGACGAACCAGACAACACGTCGCGACGTTGTTGGCAAATTAATCGATTTTCCGAAGCAACTGCCAAGTCAATAGTTGGCTCAGTTACATACCGAGCAGCGCGCCACGCGGTCGTCTTGATGGCATAAATATAAAGCTTTGTTGGTTTGTTTGGCATTGCTTGGGGCAGCTTACATAAGAATGTCTTGGAAATTTGTGGAACGGCCGAAACCTGGCACTGAGACTGCTTTGGATGCCTGCGACTATTTTGTCGATGAGGTCATTGAGAGCTCGCGTGGACGGGGTGCGATATATGACAAGCAGTTTACCATATGCTGGATCCTTGCTTGACCTAATTGCTCTCATCCCTTCCAGATGCGCGTGAGGAGGTGCGTCAAATAAAGCATGGCGAGCTGCGTGCCGCCGTCAGCACTGGAGATGAACGCACGGTGCGCGTGCTGCTCGAGGCGCTGGGTAGGGAGCGACAGATCATTGTCAATATGGCACCAGCCGGCGCCAATACGCTTCTCTTTATGTAAGTTAAAATGCAAACTAAATAATATTTGTGTTTTGTTTCTTTGTCAACTTACTCGTGCTATTAAAAACAGGTCAGTAAGTCAATCAATTATTCGAGGACTGTCTTTTAGCCAGTCAATTATTTAGCCGAAGTGCCAATTAGTCAATCAGTCGGTCGGTCAATGTGTCATTTAATCAATCAGTATATATGTAGAACAGTAATGCAATGTCTTCTCTTGTTTAACATAGCGCCAGCCAATCCGGCTTCGAGAGCATCACACAACGGCTGATTGACGCTGGTGCAGACGGACGCTCACATGCGGTCACCAAGTACTCACCGCTCTATGCAGCCGTTCACAATGGTCATTATGGGATTGCCAAGCTTATGCTCGAGCGCTTTCCGGAGCTAATACAACAGGCGACAGTGGAGCGCTGGCTACCACTGCATGCAGCCTGCATCAATGGGCATATCAAGATGCTGGAGCTGATAATCGGCTTTCCATATCCCGACTACCTCTATCAGACATATCGTGACGAGGAGGGCCAATGGGAGTGGCGCCTGCCTTTCGATGCGAATGCCCAGGATGTGACTGGGCAAACTAGTCTCTACATTGCCAGCTTGCTTGGAAATAAGCAGCTGCTGGGTGTGCTGCTTAAATGGCAACTGCGTTGCCGGCGCACCTTGAGCGAGGACTCGGGCAGTTCGACGACGGGTCAGAGCACGCCCATAACGCCCACGCGTAAGCGCATCTCCTTTGGCATACAGGCCATTATGTCCAAGCTGCATATATCTGGCGAGGGAGACGCGCTTGAAGCGCAGCCAACGCAGGAGCAAGAGTCGCAGCGATGTCCCATCCATATCAATTTGCTGTGTGGTGCGGCACGCGAAACAGCGCTGTTAGCTGCGGTGCGAGGTGGGCATTTGGATGTGGCGCAAGCGCTGCTGCAGCACGGCGCCAATCCAAATATTGTGGCCAAGCCCGTGGAAGATCACAACGATCCCAAGTGCAGCGAGGAGATCTATGGCTTAAGCAATATGCCTATAACAGAGGCCTGCAAACAACGCTCCCTGCCGATGTTGGATCTACTGCTGAAGTTTGGGGCACGGGATGATAATGGCACGGCCATAAGCGTGGCCATTGCCAGCGAGGATGAGGCGCTATTGAGTCGCCTGTTGGCGCGACGTGTGCATCCCGACTCAGACTACAAAATTAATAAGAAGGGTCTGCCCACGCCGGTTGAGGTGAATGTGTTTCTGCCGTCTGCCAGCAATATATCGTATAGCGCCATGTTTCCTAATGTTCCAACGATAATTGACTGGCACAGCCTCAGTATGAATGTGCAGCTTCCCTTCGTGCGGATTGGCTGGCTGGTGAGTGGAGTGCTTCAACTGAATCCCAAGCTAAGTTCGCATCCCAGGCTCAATGAGGTGGCGCTGACAGCTATCACACGCATTGATTTTTCGCACAATCTACTAACCAGCATTCCCCCCGAGCTGTTTAACTTAGTTAGTCTCAAGTGAGTGCTTCATGTTAATGCTTTGGGAACAGTACCTAATTTTTGCGATTTTAGATATCTGAACGTTGCCCAGAACAAAATCACGGAGCTGCCGGCACCCCTGGACAAGACCTACAACTGTCCAGTGCTAGATGAGCTCTTTCTGCAAGATAATCAGTTGACCACCCTGCCGGCGGCTATTTTCCATCTGCCCGCGTTGACCATTTTGGACATTTCCAATAATAAGCTGCAACAGCTGCCCTTTGATATGTGGCGAGCCCCTAAGCTGCGTGAACTGAATGTGGCCTTTAATCTGCTGCGCGAGTTGCCTGTGCCGCCCATGCAAACCAGCGGCTCGCTGATGAGCCTGGATAAGTTGCAGCTACTGCAATCCTGTGATGAGCCATCTTCTAATAAGCCGCATACGCTGCTACATCGGACACTGACGCATCGCAATCTATGGTCGACAGCGCTGGATATCACTGACAATGACATGAAGTGGCAGCAGGACCAGGAGCAAGAACAGGAACAGGCTGTGGCTGAAGGCAAGACACCGTATGGCGCATCGCAGCTAAGCAGTCTGAATATTGCCAACAATTTGTTCACCAGCATTCCCGCTGCACTGCCCTGTCTGGCAGTTAATTTGACACGGCTGAACATGTCCTACAACAGCCTTCGCTCCATGGGTCATGTGACCAGCTATCCCGCCACACTGAAGCAGCTGGATTTGAGCCATAACGAGATCTCGTGCTGGCCCAGCTTGCCACGCATTACTGAATCCGATCCGCATCTACTGTGCTATAGTCATGTCCAGCTGCCAGAGGGCATGGATGAGCCCATCTATAAGTCGTCTAAAGGCAGCAGCTGCTCCTTTCGTGCCTCTGTGCTGAAGAGCGTCTGCCGACACAGGCGTCATTTGCGTCTGGAGGCGCTGCGGACGCTCATCTTAGCCGATAATCTGCTGACGCGCATACAGCTGTCTACAGATGATGCCACGACGTTGTTTAATGAGAGTGAGGATGCCGACTGGAGCGTGGTGGGCGTCAACAAGTCAAAAGTTATATTTCCCAATCTATCAATGCTGGACATGACTAATAACTGTCTGAAGGAAATACCTGCCTCCCTGCATGAGCTAAGCAGCCTCTCCGTTTTGAATATCAGTGGAAATGTTCAGATTACCGAGTTGCCACCACATCTGGGTCTGCTCTCGCGGCTGTGGAACCTGAACACACGCGGCTGCCTGCTGCAGGAGCCGCTGCGCTCCATGATTGAGAGTAAAAAGCACAAGACCATGGACATAGTGGGTTATTTGAAATCCATCTATGAGGATGCGCAGCCGTATGCACGCATGAAGCTAATGGTTGTGGGCTCCTGTGGAATTGGCAAGACCACGCTGCTAGATCTACTGCGTCAGGGTGTTGGCAATGGTTCAGGTGGCTCCAGTTCGCATCGTTCGCGCGCCAATGAGAATCATTGGGCCAAGCGCATGGGACACGCGCGCAGCACCTCGCGCTCTCAGCGCCAGACGAACATATCAACGGTTGGCGTTGACATTGGCACCTGGATCTGCGAGAAGCGCAAACGGGCGACAGGCTGCCAAGCGATTGTCTTTCGCACTTGGGATTTTGGCGGCCAAAAGGAATACTATGCGACACATCAATACTTTCTGTCGAAGCGCAGTCTCTATCTGGTGCTTTGGCGCATTAGTGATGGCCACAAGGGCTTGGCGGAACTGCTGCAATGGCTAGGCAATATACAGGCGCGTGCTCCAAACTCGCCGGTGCTCATTGTGGGCACGCATTTCGATACGGTTGGTGAATCCATCTCCGCACAGCAGGCAGAGCAATTGCAGCAGCTGATACGCGAGAAGTTTATAGCCATTCCAGATGCTGAGAAGATTGGATTGCCGCGTGTCATTGACTCCATTGAAATCAGCTGTCGGTGAGTCCTGTTGCAGGCTAAAAACTTAGCCAATGTTATATCTAATCTCTATTTTCTAGTACGCTGCACAATATCCATTTGTTGGCCAACATCATCTACGACACAGCCATGCAGCTGCGATCGCCCGGCTCCAAGGAGCCGATGTTGCTGCAGAAGATACCAGCAACCTATATTGCATTAGAGGATATTATTAATGTGATTGCTTGTAGTTTACGCGCCGCCGGTCGCGATCCGGTATTGGATGCGGAGCAATATCGTTGTATGGTCACAGAGCAAATGCGTTTGCATAACTACAAGAGTTTTCGCGATGCCGCGGAGCTCCAGCAGGCAACAACCTGGTGTCACGACAATGGCATTCTACTGCACTATGATGACGCTACGCTTAGGGATTACTATTTTCTTGATCCGCAGTGGCTGTGCGATATGTTGGCACATGTGGTTACTGTGCGGGAGATAAATCCATTTGCACCTACGGGCGTCATGAAGCTGGACGACTTGCAGCTGCTCTTTCGCAGTGTGCACGCCCAGGGCAATGGGAATCGTAGGTGGGTGCATTTGCATTTTCAGAAATTTGTTTCTTCTTACCAATCCTATTTCTATGTTTATTTTTTAGCTATATAGTAAGCTTGTTAAACAAGTTTGAGGTGGCGTTAACCTGGGATTCGCGTACGCTTTTGATTCCCTCATTGCTGCCTCTGCATGAGGCGGCTGCTTATAACGAAGGCACCACAGTTAAATTACTGCAACGTGTACGAGGTCGTAATCTGGGCTGCTCCGTCTCGCAGGAGCTCAATCTGAATAAGCTCATCTATGAACAGCATCTGCCACGTACCCCAACCTGTTCGGTCTCCGCGGCCAGTCAGGGCTTGCGTCGCATACTGCTCATGACGTACTTTCCTTCCGGCTTCTGGTCACGTCTGCTTACGCGTGTTTTGGCCGACGAGCAAATAATTGAGGCTATTCGAGGCGTCTACGTGGCCTCACAGGATGTAAGTTTTCTGGATTACTTCAAATTGAATGCTTCTTAATTCTGCTGTTCCTCACCAGAAATATCTAGACTTTGATTTGCGTGGCTCACTGGAGCAGGACACCCAGTGGAACCTGTGGCAAACGGGTCTGGCATTATACTACGGACCCATACTTATCTTTCGCATTTGGGAAGTGCCCTTCCAAAGCAACGAACGCACACAGCCTTTTCGCACAGCTGGCAACCGGTTCAAGCTCAAGTTAGATGGCGCTTGGAGCGATGTGAACCTGAGCTCCTCTAGTATTTTGGAGGTTTACTTCCCACTGCTTTACGTGAGCATTTACCAAGAGCTCGATGCGGGCGAACGGCAACTGCTGGCGGAGTTACAGCCGCATATGTCACATGTGGCTAAGCTGTTAGCTCTGGTTGTGGACCACATAGATCTGCTGTTGGAGGATTGGTATCCAGCGCTCGGTACACGCTTTGTTCATACCTCTGAGGGGCGTTTCTTGATAACGCGCTTAGTGCTTTGCCCACGTTGCCTCCGCAAGCTCCAGCTGCAGAATGGTGCAGAGCCTGTGGAGCGGGAGCCCAGTCTGAGTGGCAGTAGACCCAGTCGTAGCAGTAAACGTGGCACTTTCTTTTTGCATGGCATTGGTGATCCTGGTGACGATGGCGCCCTGAATGTCTTTTCCGCTTATCTTAATGCAACTGCAAGCCGGGAGAGACGCTCAGCCGATTCGCTGGGCGCTGGCTCAGATGCGGATTCGGGCGTAGGACCGGACTCGGCTTTCTCTTCCCGCAACACCTCTGTGGATGGACATCCCGCTTATGCCTCGCATAATCTACCAGACAACTCGAATGTCTGCTATGCCTGGATGGTTGAGGAGTGCATTTTGTCCGTATACAATCAAAGCAAACTCAGCTGCCCGGTTCATCTGGAGCAGTCAATGGCCCAGCTGGCACCCGATGTCATCTTTGCAGATATTCCCGACAAGCATACAATTGCCCCTGAATGCATCATCAAGGGCTCGCTACTGGGACGCGGCGCTTTTGGCTTTGTCTTCAAGGCCACGTGCAAGTTGCGTGGCGCTCGAGCGTCCCGACCGGTGGCCATGAAAATGCTGCAGCCGGTGCAGCCAGGTGCGCGGGCTAAGGAGGTTGGTCAAAATCAGGTCTCAATAATCCTTAAAGATTGTATCCTCCTTTCTGTATTCTATTTTTAGAGCGCTTTGATGGCTTACAAGGTGGCCGTGGGCAAATGGGATCGCGATCCGCTGCAGCATTCCTGCAAGGCCTATTGCACCGCTAGACAAGAATTGGCCGTACTGCTCACACTGAAGCATCCGAATATTGTGCCTCTAGTAGGCATTTGCATAAAACCTTTGGCCTTGGTGCTGGAGCTGGCGCCACTAGGTGGTCTTGATGCACTGCTGCGCCAGTATAGGCGCAGTGGCGCACACATGGGTCCTCATACATTCCAAATGTTGGTTCTGCAGGCCGCACGCGCCATCGAGTATCTGCATCGCCGGCGCATCATATACCGGGATCTGAAATCTGAAAATGTGCTCGTCTGGGAGTTGCCACAGCCGCACAGTGAGGATAGTCCACGCAACCAGGTGCATATTAAAATTGCAGATTATGGCATCAGTCGTCAAACGGCGGCTGGTCTTAGTGCCAAAGGCTTTGGCGGCACGGAAGGCTTTATGGCGCCCGAGATCATACGTTATAATGGCGAGGAGGAGTATACAGAGAAGGTAACTGGTAATTGATCTGATATAAGTTGCTGTTTTATCATATTTCTTTCCCTTAGGTGGATTGCTTTTCTTTTGGTATGTTCATTTATGAGAATATTAGCCTGCGCCAGCCTTTTGAGGGTCATGAGTCTATCAAGGAGTGCATATTGGAGGGCAGTCGTCCGGCGCTGACACAGCGCGAGACACAATTTCCTACATGCTGTCTAGATCTCATGGTGCTCTGCTGGCACGAACAGCCGCGTCGACGGCCATCAGCTAGCCAGATAGTTTCTATACTCAGGTAAGGGTTGAAGCAGCTCTCAGTATATCGCGGGCTTAAATCCAATTTACCTTAAAGTGCGCCTGAGTGCATCCATTTGTTGGACGTGGTAGCTCTGCCGCACAGCGACAAGATTGTTTGCGGTGCATTTCAATTATTGTTGGGCAGCATTGAGGAGGAGCGCTCCGGCCTTGAATTATGGCTGCCTGCTTTTGGTTCACACATTGACATACTAGACGTTTCGCCAACTGGTAGTCTGCTGCAGTGCAGCAGCATTAGTTGTGCTCCACAGCCGCAAATGGTGCCGCCAAAAACGCCCGAAACTAGCGCAACCGCACGTGCACGTTCAGCACAGCGTGTGCCCAAGGTGAATATGCAATGCTGCTGTTTGGTGGGTGAAGCTATTTGGATGGGTGATGTTTCGGGTAATTTGCACGCGTACAGCACATCGAACTATGCACATTTGTTCTCCTACATGCTTGATCCCGCCATCAAGACAGCTGTAATCAGTTTAGTGTATATGGAGGACATTGTGCGTGTCGCTGTGGGCTTGCAAAATGGTCGTGTTTTCCTGGTAGATGCCAGTCGTATGCCCAGTAATTGCGCCTTTGCAGAGGGTTCATTTGTGCTCACCGAGATTTGTTCCGGTTTTGTGCTTCATGCCGCCTGCTCAGTACTGATTGAAGGGTGAGTTTTTAATCAAGCCTCTTTTAACTTTGCTAATCCTTATTCGTTTTTTACAGCAACTATGAGCTGTGGTGTGGCGAGTTAGCTGGCAAAATCAATGTTTTTCCTGTTAATGAGTCTGGTGTGTGCGGTCATCAGGCCTTATGCCACAGCGAGGAACCCAATCTGATCGAGGATGTTAAAGTGGTGCGCCTGTGCAGCAATGATAGCCACGTCTTTAGCTGTTTGTATCCCGGCTGCATGGTATATCAGTGGGGTACAATGACGAAGCGTATTGAAAACAAACTGGACTGCTCCAAGCTGCTGCCCTGCTCCGAATCCCTACAAAGCATTGCAATTGATGAACACGTAAATCTTATAAAATGCCAAATCTCAGCACTGGCGGCACACAATACCGAACTGTACATAGGCACCACCTGGGGTTGTCTCATTGTGGCCGAGCTGCAAACGCTGCGTCCCATTAGTGTATTTCGTCCTTATGAGAATGAGGTCAGTATTTGCGTATATACTTTATGATTAGTAGTTAATTCAGTCGGTAATATATTTCAGATTAAAGCTATCATAACCATGCCGAATGCCAGCGTGCCGCTAATAGCTACGCTTGGACGACGCTATCGTTCGCTGATCTCGCGTTATGTGGACATGGGTGAGTCCCCTTCGAATACAGCTAGCTCAGTGGCAAGCACGCCCACGCATGGTGCGGGCAAATCGATGCCTCCATCTAATGTGGATAACCACATACATTGCCTGTTGTGGCGAGCCAAGAACTGGACCTAAGACCGATCTCAACTATGTACTACGTAATATTGTTAAAATATTTATTAATCCACTAAAACTAGGCCAAGTATTTGGCCAAAATATTCTAAATAGTTTGTTAAACATATTGCTGGCGTAGGCACATCCTTCTATTGGAGTAATAGGTCTATTTCATATACTTTTTTGGTGCTTTTGCAGATCAAGCCCTTTTATTGCACTGAAAAACTATTAAAAGGTTAAGCTACAAACTGAATATGAAGTAATATTTCATACTTTAAAAACAATTTCATAACATTCCATTCCAACTAACTTTTTAATAAAGCTGACAATTTTCAATTTAGTGAAACGCCGTTTGCAATTCCTGTCTGATCGAACCCACCGACATGGACGACTGCCGGCTGCGTGAGTAAATCGACTCCGAGTTCTTGAGTACGCGTACGTAGTTGTTAAAGTCAATCAGAAAGTGAAACTCTTCTTTAAGTGCATCCTTTACCGGCACCTGCAACAGAATTTATGTGAGTTTACCTCAAGGTTTTATCTTTTGAATGTTTACCTTAAAGTGCCGAGCTTTTTTGATGATGAACAGCACCCAGCTGATTACGCCATAGAGCAGCGCACAGCATGAGCCCACGAGCAGGACGAAGAAGACGCCCTCTAGATTATCCATGGCAAGCGGTGTGGCATCGGGTGCATCTTCCTTAGTTGCGCATATACCAGAGCCCACCTCATTCCACCATTTGTTCTTCATCTTCTCCAGCACGCCCTGCTCCTGCAGCTCCAGCAACGCATTATTAAATTTATCGCGATGTGGCCAATCTGTAGGATTGTGCTTATGAGTTTATGGAAATTCTTTGGGTACTTTTACGACGTACTCTTTCGCATGGCTATTCCATAGCCCTTCTCGTCCAGAGCATCGCCAATTTTCTTGAGATTACATTCGCGCTTCGTGTTGTACTCAATGGATGTGGATTCCATGAGAAAGGCATAATGAGTGCTAGTCTTGACCCGGTCAACGCCCTCCTGATTGGTTTCTGTTAGATGCTCCGGATGTTCGGTCATAAATTTATTCATTTTCACGTAGCGTTCGTCTTCGGAGGTCTGCGGTAAAACACGAGTAACATAATCTCTACGAATTTAAATATCCTAAGACTAACCAAAAAGAAGTTCCTAGTCGATCCTGTACGCTTGGCTCCATAGACAACGCCGTCCTTATTCTCAGCCAGGTCATCCACGCTGTTGATTAAGCTTTGTGGTTTCTCAATGGTCAAGAAGGCAGCTAGATTAGCTGTATAGGAGGAGACGACAATCAACGTAAAGAACCACCAGAAACTGGCTACAGTGCGCGTCGACAAGGCTCTGATGGTGGATAAAGTATTGCAGAAACATACAGGATGTATATATAAGAACTTACTTGGGTCCTATTTCTGAACCCTGCTGTAGCAGAGCACCAGTTGTAAACCAAATGGAGTTACCTATAGTAAACTGATTCTCAAGCTCCTCTGGCTCTTCGATGCACGGATAAGGATTGTCCCATTCGCTTGGCGATAGACGGCCAAGTATGAAAAAGCTTAACGAAACAGCCAGAAACGATAAGCCAAGAAACCACCAAACCTCCTCCGAGAAAGGATCCATGAAGGTAAATAGTTCCGGTGTGGCTTTCTGGGGCTTTAAATAGAGTATAGCAATCCCTAAAATTAAGTAGAGCGTAAATTTCAGCCGTTAAGAAAAGATTTCCCTCAACTTGCCTAGATTCATAAAGGGTATGCTAAAATCTATAGCTTCTTCGCGCTCCGATGTTATAGTCAGATCGGTGACTGCTAAGTCAGCATACTACAAAGAACCATATGTTTTTATAAATTATCTTATCTTGTAAATTATATATTTTTTCATTTGATGTGCTACATTTAAACTTACGCCGTGCATTATCTCCCGCAACATGCCCGTTGATTCATTGGAAGTCTTATTATATGAGCCATAATCATTGCCACCATTTTTAAAGGTAAAATTGAAGCCCAATTTATCGGCCAGCTCCTTGATCAGATCCACACCATAACCTTCATACTGACTATTGCCCTCGAGTTGCTTGTAGCTCTCCACCAAACTAGCGTATGGTTTGTTCTGTCCGAAAAATCCTGGCTATAGCTTAAGTAATAATTATAATTATATGCTCTCTTACCGAAACCGAAAGCAATACGATAAATGTTTTGTTCGCCAGAGAATTGTCAATGTTATCGAACTGTGAGTTGGTGGGCGCCAAGCGCTCGGGTCTATAGCCGCGCTCCTCTTCCCAAGTGCCCACTTTGATAATGCCGGAGGGCTGCAGCTCAATGACATCCAAATGGTAGCCTTTTCGAACGTTGCCTTCAAAATAGATGGGTCCGGTGAGAAGGCGTTCTTTGAGGCGAAGCTGATAGGGATAATGGTATGAGGTAAGCCAAATCTTGAGTTCAAAAACACAATCTCACCGTTCTCATATAATTTTTGAAAGAGGAACCATCATCCCGCACACTTTCCGTGCGCTGAGAACAATTTTGAGAAACCGGCTTAACGGGCAGATTCTTTAGGGTTTCGGCAAACAATTGTACGGCATCGTATGTGAGTGCCATTTCCACGGTTATTGGACAGGAACCTAATTACTTGACAGTGAGTTTCAGTTAAGAACTGGTATGTTATTCTCTTTACCATTTCGAAAATCATCTGGATCATTATTGTAGCCCATTTTTTGCATTAACTCCTTCACAGCCATTTTCTCTGGTGAAAACATACGCAGACTTGTTATATTGGCCTCACTGTACTTATACTCTTCAAGATCAAAGGCATGAAAGTCCAAATTGCCAATAATGTAGCTATAGTCCTCGTTAATAATGCCAACTTGTTGAGCCTGGATCAGATAAATGTACCAACTCATATATTCAACAGCTTTGACATTAACCTTATTGTGCTCACCTGATTTAGAAACTCTGGCACCGTCTCTGTGGAGCCTACGACTACAATTCGATTATCTATGGACTTGCGCACACGTCTTAAGACGGGTTTATAGTTGCCATTCAGCTGCATATCATAGCGCAGTACCGTGACAATTGGTCCATTCATGCCGAAAAGGGAGTTAAGCTCATTCAGGATACTCAGATATTCCGCTTTAAATGACAAATTATATAAATAATATAACCGCAAGCTAATTCACAACTTACCCGATTCATAGAGAAATATAAAACGCGACCACTCGAAGGCAGTTATGAGGCTGTAGAGCGCCTTGGATATATCAACAGGATGGGGATGCAGATTAAAACCCTCGGCATATTCGCTCATGTAGGAGTATATATGGGGTATATCCATGGCATCGCATATGGACATCAGATGCACAGCCGTGTGGCGCGAAGAGGGTCCAAATACCCCTGCTATGCCCGTCTGCAGTCGCAAGGTAATATTAATTATAAAAATAATAAATTAAATTGGATGCAAGCTTACCTCTAGCATGCGGCACAGTTTTCCGTAGCTATGATAAGCATCGCCATAGTTCACCTCTGCTTTGAGGGATGACATAGCTAAGCCCAGCTCCAAGTTGGCCACTTCAATGGCATGATCAAATACAATATTCATTTGTTCCGTATTTTGATCAGTAAGCAGGCCTATTCAATGGAGACAATTTAAATAGAATTTTAAAATAGAATTTCGTGTCGTTGGAATAAAAGAGACAGTACAAGTCTCAGATCTCTAGCTTCACAGCGTTCGTAGCGATAAATGGACAGAACGAATATACTTTTTACACGTTGTTAGCAGAGTATTAATACATACACTATTAGGTATACAGTCCTAGTATATGTAATTTGCCGGTTTGTTTATAAACAAAAACTTGAACTTATCGCTGTCTATATGGGGGAATATATAGTACACTCAGACATTGCCGCGAACCGTCGCAAATCCAAACAAACAAACACTAAAAAGCATTTTATGAGCTTTCAGCGTTGATGGAACGAACAGCATGTTCTCTTTACGAGGCATTAAAAATAAATCAGGCGTTCGGAGACCGCAATTTGTAGTGCCAGAAAAACTTACCAATTGGTATATTGCCCGAGTTTTGGAGGCTATCGTAGCCGCCGTAATTGTCATATTGAGCATTAAGAATCGATACTTTTAATATTAATATTAAAAAATATATTAAAACATTGGCCTTAAGCATTTTATTGCATAAATTAATGAAGGCTTTTATTATATATGCATAATTATAAACAAAAGAAAAGAGGCTATGGATTTTGTGTTCTATACGCGATGAGGGAAAGGCGACAACTGCCTGAGCATTTCCAAAATATTCGTTTGGAAAACGTTTTTGAGTAAAAGTTTCTAAAAGCTTTGAGCTTAAAAATCTTTATTGAAGCATTTTATGAGTGAATACCAAGTTATGCCAACTGAAATTGTTGAGAGCTGTGAGAATATCTAATGAAAATTCCTTAATCCTCTTCGGGTATATTTTGCTCCGAATCGGTTTGAAGCGATTCTATGGATTGTGAAGAATTGCGACTGCGTGAATACACCGACTGGGCGCTCTTCAGGGCGCGCTCATTTTCCGCAAAGCTGATGACAATTTTGAACTCCTCAGCGAGTGCATCGCAGAAGGGCACCTGTGAAGAAGTTCAACTACCAATTATTCTTTTAAATTATCCAAGCTTACCTCATAGAATTTGGCCTTCTTGAAGACGAATAGGCACCAGTAGAAAAATGAAAATACAAAGGATAACAACGAGCCAACAATGAGCACGGCGTAAATGCCACTCAAGTTATCGACGCCCAGTTCCGAAGGACCATCGTCATCGCCTTTGGCCTGTATGAAAAGAGCATATTCTATATGTATATAACCGTTTTTCTTTGCAAAAACTGGATTTAGAATATTCCAATCGTTAAAGTAGAAACGTCTTGAAACTTTTTGTTCTTTATCCGATCGACTTTCATGTATTTATGTGTGTGTGATAATTTGAATTTTAAAAATGTATTTTCAAAATTTGCCCTACTATGCAATTCTTTTAAATTCAAGTAAGATTTACTTATAATAATTATAATTAATTATAATTTTATTATTAACAAGCTATGTTGAAATCTATAAGACTTTATGCTCGTTCATAATCCCGTTTTTCTGAGGTCTCTTGCAACTTAACGCCTTCTTTTCATTCCTGTCTCTTGCATATCTTTTTTATTTTATTCCGTATAGTTTTAACTGATTTTATTTGAACTCGCTTTCTACCTTTTTTCTTTTAGTGAACTGCTCATAATGCTATACAAATATGCTTTCTATTAACGGATACCAATTAAATACGTAAAAGTGTACCTGTGAATTTGCAGGTAAGTACATTACTACATATACATATGCAGATAATCAATTTAGATCCTGGGTGCGCGTTATCTCATTTACTAAAAAATTACAAGGTACTTCCAAAACTTACGCTGCAAACCCCGGCGCCTATTTCATTCCACCATTTGTTCTTAAGCCTGGCCAGCACTCCCTGCTCCTGCAGCTCCAGTAGCGCATTATTGAACTTATCGCGATATGGCCAATCTATATTTGGTGGTTATTAGTTATTAAGTTAAATTGGGCTGAAAAGGGTCTGTGCTTTAAGCCTCTACTCACTTTTAGGCATTGCAATGCCGTAACCCTTCTCGTCAAGGGCTTCGCCTATCTTTTTAAGATTACACTCCCTCACCGTATTATACTCAATAGAGGTTGATTCCATAAGAAAAGCATATTTGGTGCCCGCTTTGACCTTATCGACGCCCGCCTGATTCGTTTCAGTTAACATCTCTGGATGACTGGTCATGTACGCATTCATTTTCATGTAGGTCTCGTCCTCGGAAGTCTAAGGCAATACATATGTAATAATATATAGATATCAGAATGGCACTTATATTGCACTTACTAGAAAGAAGTTTCTGGTCGAGCCCGTGCGCTTGGCTCCATATTGCACTTCGTCTTTGTTCTCTGCCAAATCCTCAACGCTGTTTATCGAACTTGAAGGGTTCTCAATGGTCAGGAAAGCAGCCAGATTGGCTGTATATGAAGAGACCATAATTAGCGTGAAAAACCACCAGATAGCTGATATTGTGCGGGTGCTAAGTGCTCTGTAAAATAGAAAAATAGTCATAAAAATTGTTGCTTTGATTTTCCATCATTACTTGGGCGCAATTTCGGAGCCTTGCTGTAGTAGTGCGCCTGTAGTGAACCATAGTGAATTGTTAATAGTGAATTGGTTCTCCAGTTCTTCCGGTTCTTCAATACAGGGATAGGGATTATCCCATTCCGAAGGTGACAGACGTCCCAGCACAAAGAGGCACAGGGAGACGCCCAGATAGGCAATACCCAGATACAGCCACACCTCCTTTGAGAAGGGGTCCATGAAGGAGAAGAGCGCAGGCTCCGCCTTTTGCGGTTTTACATACAAAATGGCAATACCTTAAGAAGGTAGTTAGATCAAAATCGTATGCAAATTCAATTCGATATAGGGGACTTACCTAGATTCATAAATGGTATGGAAAAGTCAATGGCTTCCTCTCTCTCTGACGTTATAGTCAAGTCTGTGATTGCCAAGTCTGCATGCTAGTAAAGATTTCAGCGTTACTTTGATATAGTTAATGGTTTGGTGCAACTTACACCCTCAACAATTTCCTTAAGCATTCCTGTTGTCAAATTTGTGGTCTTATTAAAAGAACCATAATCGTTGCCACCATTGTGAAAGGTAAAGTTAAAGCCCAGTTTTTCGGCCAACTCCTTGATCAAATCTATGCCATATCCCTCATACTGACTATTGCCAATCAGAGTATTAATGCTTTCTACTAGACTGGCATAGGGCTTGTTCTAAGTTTGAATATGTGCTTTATGTGGAAAATTATTTTTAGTGAGATAAGCGCTTACTTACCGGCACGGAGATAAGCACTTTGAAGGTTTTGTTAACCAGGGAGTTTTCCTCGTTATCATTAAAAGTTGGTATTTGTGGCGGTCGCTTGAATTCAAACTCCTTGCCCTCCTCCCAGGTGCCCACCTTTACGAGTCCCACGGGCTGCAGCTCAATTACATCGAAGCTAAATCCCTTGCGCATATAGCCCTGAAAAAAAATGCGGCCAGTAATGGTTTTCTCCAGAATCTCCAACTGTAAAACGTTGCGAATAATGTACAAAAATTATTTAAAATTTGAATGATATTCTTACCGATCGCATATAGTTTCTAAAAGTGGAACCATCTGGCTGGACATTATCATGGCGCTCGGAGCAGTTCAGCTGTTGCGGCTGATAGGGCAAATAGTTGGTGGTTTCGGCAATGACACGCACCGCATCATAGGTTAGAGCCATGGCCAGCGTGATGGGCGACGAACCTGAATTTAGATACATATTTAGCCAAGAAGTTTATCAGGATAATAAAAATAGGCAGCTCTTACCATTGTTTGTGGGCTCACTTTCGCCCAGTTCATGTTGAAGTGTCTCAATTAAATCACGAACTTCCTTTTTATCCGGATCAAACATGCGTATGCCAGTTATATTGGCCTCACTGTATTTATACTCCTCCAGTTCATAGGTATGCAGATCTAGATTGCCCACCAAATATGTATAGTCCTCATTCATGATGCCCACCTGCTGAGCCTGACGCAGCAGCTCGGCTACGCCCTCCGTGGAACCAACGACCACTATGCGATTGTCTTCCGATTTGCGTACGCGTCGCAGAACTGCCTTGTAATTGCCATTAAGATTAAGGTCGTAGCGCATGACCTTAATGACGGGTCCTTTGATGCCATATAGAGTCATCAGATGATCCAGTATGGTGAGGTACTCCGCTGCAAGTAACTGACCATTAGATATATTTCTATAACCCAAGTAATTAACATACAGGACTCGTAGCAGAAAATAAATCTGGACCATTCGAACTGTTTGATAATGTCGTAGAGCGCGTGGGCAATGTCCTCGGGATGCGGATGCAAGTTGAAGCCATCTGTTTGGGGACTCCACGATAGATGTGGATATATAAAGGGTATATCCTTGGCATCGCAAGCATTTAGCAGATGTGCCGCTGTATGCTTGGCAGATGGTCCAAATACTGCACCCACGCCATTCTATAGCATAGGTAACATATTTTAAATACTATTCAAAGCTTTCCTTTCGCAACTTTACGAACCTGCATAAGTCTGCATAGTTGTGTAAACGCCTGCACGGAGTTACCATAGGCCACTTGCTCCGTTTCACCCACCAGCGGAACGCTCAAGTCGCTGTTTACCACAGCAATGGCATGCTCAAAGGTTTGGCGTATTCTGTCCGTGCTATCGTCTGTGATAAGACCTGTGCCCCGGCGTTTGAGTCAAAGAGTAATGAGTGTGTGTGGGGTAAGCGAGTGGTTCGTGTGGTTGCTCTTCTTCAAGCTTACCGATTCGAATCGCCTGCCCGCTGGCAGCTCCATAGGAACTGGCTCCATAGCCATGGACCTCGTGTGGCCACAGTAATATCACAACAATTAACCAGATATGCATTTCACCAGTTTCTTGTTGATTGCAACTTGCTTTCTTATTTTTAAATAATGTTACATGTCTTTGATCCGATTTAAAAATGTCGTTTCTATTTTTGCTCGATTTTTTGTTCTATATATATTTTTGAATCACCCACACGGACGTGAGTTTTTTGGTGTTTCGTACCCGTTGAACACACGGCTCCTACTAAAGGGGAATCAGCTGAAGAAATATACACTCAAAAGTTTTCCAAATAATTTGTTTTGTTTTGAGCTTGAAAGCTCCAAAGTTTTGGAATTGGTGTCAGTGTTGCGTAATTACCAAATAAATTTCAGGAAATTTCATTAGAGAACTTGCCAACTCACAACTAATCAGAGAATAATTTTCTTGGTTCGTTTTTGCATATTATAATCGTTTATATTTTATTACACTTATCACAAACAAATAATTTCAACTAAATTATTTAAAAATATAAATAGTTAATTACTAAGAAATATATATATATATATAAAAGAAAATAATAAAGCATATCATACATTATTTTTGGCACAGTAAGTTTTTTATATTGCTATAAATACACTTGCGAATATATCCTGGCAATTCACGTTCACCGGCAAGTCGAGTTTGAAATACTTTGGTAAAAAAGCCAGCAATAACTTTGTAAACTGAAAAGTTGAATAAGTTAAATATCTGTGGACAAATACGTTTGGAACGCCTTTGGCTCTGGCAAATATTAACCATTTTTCTTAATGATATTTAGCTCAAAGTTAAATATTATATCTATATATTAGTTTATTGAGGACAATAATTTTTATTTTTAGGAGTTTGAAACATTTAGAAATGATATTTTCTAGGAAATGATTTTTGAAAACTAAATTTTTGGAAATATTTAATGCAGCCCCCTCGCTTATTCTTTTTTCAGAAATTGAAAACCTCAAGAATGTACACTAGGTATAGAAAATTATCTTCCTAAACGGTTCAAACTATCAAACTTATGGGTTCTTATAAATTGGGTCATCATTTGTTCTTTAATATTTTTTTTTTTAGATTTGAATGTGCAATTTAAATTTGAATACATATGATTAATTAGTGAATTGTTTGAATTCACAAATTGGCGCATAAGAATTGCAAGCTTATTGGAAAGACAATTGAAGAAGTTTAACATAGCAAGAGGGAGAACAACAACCGCATAGGAAGGCAGTTACTTGCAATCCAACTAGTGGGCATAAATCACCATTAATTAAGTGAATGTGAATTGTGGCGCAATGGGCCCAAGTGAAGTGCGACGTTGTTGTTGACAAGACCACAACAAGCCAGCTCAGAGGAAGCTGACAGCCGACACATACTCCTAATCAAGTCGCTTCAAATGTGGAGCAATTCTGAAGGGTGTTTCAGCATTGGAATGCGAGTGAGAAGTGGTTGTGGTTAGGTTTACTGAATAATACTTACAGTTAGCGATAGATCCAACGGTCTGCATTGGTTTTCTTTAGGAATAGATCGTCTGTAATACTCTTAGGCTATAGGTAACAATAGATAGCGACTACCAGACGCTGCACTTTTTGTGGGGATTCATGGGCGTGCCCGCCGCACAGTTGAACTCGCGCGCAAAGTCGTACGAGTTGGAGAGTGTGCCGATTACTCGATACCGTCCGGGACTGTGTATAGCTGTGTTCAGCTTGTTCCGTATCGCTTCCGGCCGCATGGCACCGCACCATACCTGACCGAAATTCAAAAAGAATAGCTGCGGTCCGGTCATATTTAGGCCCGGCAGCATCTCATCTTTGGCCTCGTGTGGGTTTTCGTTTATCCAACGCATGTAGGCGTGAAATGCCTGTCGCAGTCCGCCATTGTCCGCAATATTCTCACCTGGGCAGATGACTGATAAGCCATACGATTAATTGGGGTAGTGGATTTAAGGCTTACCTTGCGTGCTCTCGCCGTTGAGCGATATGCCAACCTCCTCGACCGTGTAATTGCCGTACTGTGAAATGATGCAGCGGGCGCGATCGTCAAAGCCGCGAATAGACGCGTCCGTCCACCATTTGTGTATATTGCCATTGCTATCAAAGAGCCGACCCTTATCGTCAAAGCCGTGGGTTAGCTCATGTCCAATGACCACACCGATGCCGCCAAAGTTCAGCGACTTGGGAAAATGGCGATGATAGAACGGTGGCTGTAGTATGCCAGCGGGAAACATGATCTGATTCTTGTTGCGGCTGTAGTAGGCATTCACAATCGCCGGTGCCGTCTGCCAGTTGGTTTTGTTTACACGCTCGTGCAGCTTGGCCTGCTCCATCTTGGCCGTGTGCAGCAGCACATTGAGCGTGTTCTCAAAGTACTTGTCCGGATGTATATCGATGCCCGCATACTTTTCGTTTAGCTCTTCGGCATTCAGTATAAAATCCGGATAGCCAATCTTAAGGGACATGGCATTTACCTTCTCCTCGGCCAGAAGCTTGGTGGTCTGATCCAGCCAGTCAGTAGTCTTAAGTATATCGCGAAATGCCTGCTGCAGCTCATGGGTCATGCGCAGTGTATCCCGCTTGCTGTTGTCGTCGAAATACCGACTCACAAACATGGAGCCGACGGCCATGCCCATATTGGTGTTCACCTGCGCTATGCAGACCTTCCAGCGCTGTGGACTCTCCTCGCGCCCGAATAACGCATGATAGAAATTCTGCTTGATATCGTCAAATCGATCGTCCACATTGTTGATGCGGTGCCGCACAAACCTCCACATCATGTAGTTGGCGACAGTGCGTGGCTCTGTAACGGCGAGCAGTGCCACAAGTTGCTTCATGTACTCCACCGCATAGATGACCACTTGCTCCGTTTCATTGACATTGCGTCCCTGCAGCGTACTCAAATACGCAGTCCAACCTATCTGTGGCACTAAAGCTTTCAGCTGCTGCAGCGACATCCGCTTGTAGAGCTATGGAGTAAAAGTTACTTAGTTTATTGGTGCAATTCGAAAAGCTGCACTCAGAGAAAAAAAACGGTCACCTATATTCTTGCATTAGAAAAAACAGCTCAATCCGGAAACTTCACTCGGTCAATACAAGTTTTTCTACTTCTATTCAAACAGTTTTCGCTTATGTCCAGAATGAAAATTCTTGTTGTAAGTATTTTGTACATATGTGCTTAAAAAGCCGCTCAGATCGGACCACCAATATATAACTCAAAAATTAAGTTCATTTGTGATTGTTTTTCAAGATATCTTGATCGAACTTGTATATAAGCTAAAGCTTAACAGTATCGGATTACTATATCATGTAGCTCTTTAGAAAGAATCGGTCAAAAAAAGCTATTGCATTTCAAGTTTTTATGTTTCAGTCAGATATTCAAAAAATATTTGATTTTTAAATTGCACTGGCATACAAGAATATAGTTTTCTTAGTTTACACCTTACCTTGGTCACATTGAGTCTCTGCTCAGCTGGCGCTGTAATCGCCGCAAGGCGCGTCTCAAAGGCAATCAGCTCGGTGGCGGTGTGTGATGCATCCGATTTGCTGGCGCCCAGTTTGTTCATTACCTCGGCCATGTAGCGCTGATAGGCATTTAGGTATTTGGCGTTGTTCTGCTGCAGGAAGTATTCGCGAGTGGGCAGCCCCAGGCCAGTTTGATCAAACTGTATGATATTCTCTTCGGAGTTCTTGATATCGGCGCCCACCCACTGCACGATGAGTATGTCATTGTTGTAGCGACGAAGTGTGGCGGCCAGCTGTTGCCAGTTGAAGTGGGTGCTGCGCCAATCTGAGTCGAGCACTGGCCAGCCGCCCAGCTGGCGTATTAGCGTGTGCAGCGGCTCTAGGCCGCGGCGGCTAAGCAGCTCGCTGTTCACGCAGGATTTGTAGAGATTCTTGGCCTTGACCTGAGCATCGTGCTTGGACTTCAAAAACTCATTGGGGCTTCCAGGGCCGGGCGGCTGATGCATTGATTCCTCTTTGACTCTCTCCTTGTCTTTGTCATGGTCTTTATCCTTGTTGTTACGCGCTGTAGCCGCCGCTTCCTCTTCTTTCGACTTTTCACGCGTCGGCTCAATCAGCCGTTTGCGTTTGGTGCCATTGCTGAAGCGTTTATATCGCACCAGCACCCGGTTAAGTAAATGCCGCCGGTGCACAATGTGCCGGCGCAGGCGTTCGGCTTTCAGTTCGGACGCTTGATCTGTTTCAGGCTCCTGCTCGTTCAGTTTGAACACGTTTTGGCGCACACGCGTCTCTGGACTGGGCTGCTGCATATTCTTTTCGAGCAGATTTCGCAGCACCAGATCCAGACTCTCACGCAGCATTTCGAAGGTGTCAAAGCCCGCCTTGTCCTTGGGTATGGGATGCAATTTCTCCCAGTTACCGCAGGCGAACTTGTAGAAATCCACGCAGGGATCCACATGGGTGTTCATGTAACGCTGCATGGTTTTGGCCTGTGCCTGCCGTATATCCTCCCGTGTGCCCTGCTCATGCCAGAAAGATTGCAGCGGGCTGTCGAGTAACTCGGATTCCATATTATTCATCCGCTGTTGCTGTGCCTCGCGTCGTTCACGTGCTGTCTGCCGCCGCGACCAGTACTGCACCGTTTCCGGATAGCGCTTGGGCATGCCCTTTTTGTGACTTGTGTCAAACTCTGAACCCGCATCGTCGTCAACCACCGTATCCGTTTCGGTTGCGGTGGGCACAAACAGTTCATTACCGAAACATTCGCGTGGCATCGAGCCGAGTCCAGAGCCATGTGGCAGAAACGAGGTGCGCGCATCCTTCATTAAAATGCTGCGATCCTCCAGCTCCAAAGTCTCACCATTCGCATAGCGATAAGGCAGACAGCGTCTGGCTCGTTCCGTCAGTGTCTCCAGCCGGGCGCGTTTTGCCTGCGGCAACAGAAACTCATCATTGATTAGCTCATTGTAGCTGTCGCCCTCCGGCAGCAGTGACTCGTAGTCATCCAGATAGCCGGGCATCGAGTCTGCCGCTCTGCGTTGCTCGCGCATGCGTTGTTCGTTTAGTTGAAGAGCCTGCAGCATTCCATCCAGCCGCAGTAGCAGCAGCAGCACCAATGTCAATGGCAGCATCACCACTGGAAGCAGCAAAAGCAATTTACAGCATGTTAGACCGGGACACCACTGTACACGGCCCGTTTGCTGATTAACCCCTAGTCCCAGCTTGATGCGATGCGCACGAGCGGCGGGTGGCGTAGGCGACATTTGAACCCCGTGCACCTGCACCAGCGCCAGCTTCAACGGGCTGTGGCGACTCATAGCGCGCGGTTATGAATATGAATATGTGTAACGAATATGGATACGGTAACGAATAGTGCCGAATATGCGCTGTGGCCTTTTATACTTTAATTAAACACAATTTTTTGCGCGTCGCAATTGCGAAGCAATGAAAAATGAATAACCGCCAACCAAAGAGCCGAGAATCGAGTACCGAGCACCGAGAACCGAGAACCGAGAATCGAGAGCACCAAGCAGCGTGATCTAGTGCGAGCGCATCAGTCGCACGCGCATTGCCTACTAAAAGTGCCAGCTCCGGCTGGGGCTGTCCAGTGCGCCGGTCAAGCTGGACGCAATCACGGCGCGCGACAAACAATTGAATGAAGACAACGGCGGTGGTGGCGGCGGCGACGGCGACGACGATGGCGACGTCGACAACGCGGCGCTTAAATAAACCCCTCAAAAAAGCATAGATCAGTAAAGAAAAGGAGATGGCGTCAGCGGCGGAGGTAGAGGTGGAGACGAGATTGGCTTCCATGTAGTCGCAATGATTGTGATCTGTGTTTACTGCCCAGGCAGTGTATGAGTGTGTGTGTGTGTGTGTGTGTGTGTGTGTGTGTGTGTGTGTGTGTGTGTGTGTGTGTGTGTGTGTGTGTGTGTGTATATGTGTGCGTATGCTGCCATTCAGTTTGCGCGACAGGGCATAACGTAAATATTGACAGCCTAGCAGAACATGATTGTTGTATTGATATCAATGGGTCTTTGACCTTCTGGAAATGCATCAACCTGCACCTAAGCCGATCACATTGCCGTAGGCCCAGCATTCGACCTATTTACCTCATTTGAAAGCACCCTAAGCAGCGGCAACTTCCGGTTCCATTAATGTGTGCTAATGTCGGCTAAACAAAAACAACTTTTGAACAGACAACAGCTACAACAACAAGAAGTGCTGTAATAATACGGCATAAACATTAGCAGCAGCAGCTGCAGCAGTCGCAACAACAAACTTTTCGTTCTCAAATTAGTGTCATTATCACTGGCGCACACGTTTACACACACACCGGCATACACGCATACATGCATACCCTGTAAACGGTAGCACCTCCGCTTTGACCTCCGTCCCGGGTTCAGCTTTGAATTGAGTCTAAATTCAATCAATTTAATTTAATTTCACAAAACAATTGGACAGCAGAGACAAACAGGACGGACCAAAGCTGGTCAAAAATTGGTTGCTTCGTTGCGCTACACCCTACGGAATGGGGCATATTAACAGTTGCAATGGTTAGGTGTAAATATGTAAACAAAGTATCGCTGAATTCTTTTCGACATAAGCATACAAGGACAGATTATATGTAATTTACAAGGTTCTACTAGCCGGATTAATTTATTTAATAATAGTTAACTTATTTATGAGTTAACTTGAAGGCCAAAGTCCCATTAAGCTTATCTAGAATTTCACTCGAAAAAGTTTCTGCAAGTACAAACTGCGCACACCGTGCGTATACGTAATTTCCATCAGCGAAAACACCAAATGTATTTACTGCCTATATGCATAATCACAGGCCACACAAACACTCACATATCTAAGCACACACACACGCGAACAACTAGTTAAGTGAATTAAAGCTACTTGCGAGGCGAAAAGAAAACTTGCCACTAAATTGCCTTTCGACATCATTTTGGGTTTAGGTTAGTATTACAAGATTATGCGGATAATTGCTCGCATGCGATGCCATCTAATATGACGACACGCAGCTCATGCTCAACAAAATAGTAAGCCCCCTGGCCCCTGCTCTTCTGCCCCATAAACACCACCACCACCTACCCATCCATTCAACATACGTAGAGTACAAGCCTATGGGCATTTTTTGTTGTTGCCGAGGTCCATTTCTCCATCTCGTATCGCATGAATTTGTGTTTCATGAACAACAAACACGCGAATTAGCTTATGTTTGTGTGTGTGTGTGTGTTGTGTGTTTGTGTGTATGTGTAGGTCTCTCATTTTGTGCGTGTCGCTGTGAGGTGCATCTGTAGTTGTATTCACTTTGAATTGCCATTGCCTCCTATGCTAATTTTAGCCTTAAACCTTTTAATTAGCGACTATGGCCGAGATTGGAGAACATGTCAAGCAGATATACACACACACACACACACACACACACATGTAGGTAAATAGGTGGAATGCACTGCATAATATTTATAATTGTTGTTGCTGCCATTTGCCTGTTGCAATTGCAGTCTCCGGCGCTAAAGTTATATAATTGCCAACCTTATGGCTTTTAATTTGGTTTGGCCATTGTGTTCATTTGATCTCTAGTTCAAGAGCACAATAATCGAATAAATAAATATGAATGCAACATGTTTATACAGAAGAAAACTGTGCCATCAGGTTGTGCAAAAGGTAAACGAACCAAAAATGAATCAATTTATGAATGCCTGTGGCTATGTTTGTGCATGTGAACGTGTGTTAAATGAATGAACGCCACTTTTAAATGAACTTTTCAATTACGCGGTTAATTAACAATGAGTTGACACATAATCTAAAAATCCCCCCAAATTGATCGGTAGTCAGCCAGACTAATCAACCGAATAGCCCCAGCAGACATACGAATAATTACGACAAGTACTTTTTCCTTATGTAAGATCCATGCTCATCTGCCCTTAACGCGTGAGATACTGTGGCATCACACGACTATACCCTGTACTTCAAAACATAAGGTCAAACAAAAGTATATGATGAAATTCTTACCTTATAGTGTTTACAGCCTAAACAGAAAATATATCTCTGGAATCCTAAAAAGCTTTTCCCAAGTTTGTGTAGATCAAACAATTTTGCATTAAAGCCGCAATTTATTGAAATCACTTGTAAATTTATTCCTGTTGTCCGTTGCCTAAAAAGCAAATTGTTAATTACAGAATTAACAATTGAAAATATCCAAATCAAAAATATCTTTAGGCAATCTCTAAAATATAATTGAACAGTTTTAAATTAAAACAATTCTATTGTTGAATTATTATACTTCGTATTTCTGAAATCTGATTATTTTAAAATGATTAAATTAAACGCAACTAAAAACGTGAATTTGGATACTTCAAACCTGTACATGGGTTACCTGCCATTGTTATTACTATACATTTTATATCTGATTTTAGCATGTCACAATCACGATATGTGCTGACATAGTCTAAACTATGTGTAGGGTATGTTCTATTCGAGCGCGAATATTATTCTAATTGCACAAATACAACAACAAGACGACCGCCCATTGAGAATGATTTTCACATTCGTTATGATACTGATGATGCATAATGAACTCACAATGATGCAGAAATATTTTAGCGAAACCCGTTGTCGGCACTTATGTTGTGTGTGTGTGTGTCTAGTGTGAGCTAAGGTTCACAGGTTCAAACTGTAACCAAATGAATTCAGTTCCTAGAATATCAGTCGAGTTACTGTTAAATAAATAACACTCACATTCAAACTTTGGTACACTTCAACACACTTGCTTAAGCAGGCTATCCAGTTATTTCCTGGGCTGCTTATGACTGCGTTCGCCACGGGCACTTTAAAAATTGATTCAAAGCTCGAGTCTGGAAAGGGTATTTGTGTTTTGAGCGTCGCTTCTGTTGTTGTTGTTGTTGTTGTTGCTGCTGCTGCTGCTGCATCTGCCTGTTATCGTCTTGAAAGTGAAGTCGCGAATGTTTTGCCGTGTTGGGAGCGATGCGCGTTGAAGGCGAAATGTTGTTGCGTTTTGATGTGAATGCTGTTGCCGGGATAATGGTAAAGCTACTGGCAATATGCCCAGCACTTTGCTGTTGCTAATTTTAATTGCCGCGAGATTACCGCTAATTGAAATGTGAAAAGCAGCGGGCGCATCTGCTTTGTGGGCGCACTCACAGTGAAAATCAGATGGGAACTCAGCTGTGAGCATATCAACAGAGTTTCTTAACTGTTATCAGTTGACTTAATAGGCAAAGCTCGGCGAGACTACAAAGTGCTTTTCAATTAAATGAGCACGAGTATACTTAAAATAAATTTGTTTTTGTTACTTACATAGCAATTTCTGTGCAGTGCTTTTAGTTAAATTGCTTTAAGTCTGAATGAAACTAGCTGAAAGCGGCAGTTGACGAAAATCTGCTAATGAGAACGGGAGAGAAAAAGAGATGGGGAGATAGACAAAGGGAGAAAGCTATACATAGAGGCAGACAAAGAGAATAATAGCGAGATTACAAGATGCTAAACGTATGAGAGTCTAATTTAAGCGATGTTTCAACTAATAAACAACTTTTACAGCTAAAGTTTTACTGGTTAAATCACACTAGATGAACTAGTATTTCATTGAGAAATAGATTGAGAGATTGCGGGAAAGGGAGAGAGTAATATAAAGAACGGAAGTAGAGTTCGTTAAGCTTAGCTGAAAGTGGCATTCAGTAAAATTAAGCAAAAAAGAAAAAGAGTAAAAGACGTTTAAGCTTTTTGTCTGAAATTAAAGCTTTGTTTTAACTGTAACATAACTCTTTCATACATCTTAAAATACACCAGCTGAATCTAGGAGTTAATGTAAAGAAGGTAAAGAGTCGTAAGAGGAGCGCTGTTATAAGCTGACAGTCTCAAGTTACTTCTAGCTCAAAGAAAAACTTATTATTCAACATATCTTAGTTGCATGAGCTTTCAGCTAGTGTCATTGCTGCATTTGAAATTGCGGCACTTAATTAGATTCATAGAAAACTAAACGCAAGTTGTCAACCCCAAAGTGCGTGCAAATAAATTTCAATTTGACATTCGAGTGGTATTAATTATCATGTACAGCATAAAGTGTCCATTAATCAATGGAGTTGGCGTTGTCTGCGCTCATGTACTCGATTGAATGCTTGAATGAACGATTTAGCTTATTTGTTGTCATACTTTGACATGAACATTTCAATTTGCACGGTCTGGACCACACCTGATATGTCGATAGAACTTTGATGTGATATGCTCGAAATTGAATTTGTTTTTTTTTTTTTTATTTATTTATTATTATTAACACCTGTGAGCATTAAAGCTGTTTGTGAATGTCGCATGCCATGTTGGCCTCCTGCCCCCGGTTCTAATTCAAATGCGATAATACTTTGCGTATTTGTTCAACGCATTAATTTGTTTGTTTATTATTTGTTCTTGTTTGCTTGTTATTGTCGTAGTTTTTCTGTTGTGAGTTAATTTATTTATTAAATATTTAATTGTGTGCTGGTGTGTGTTTGTGTGTGTGAGCTTGGTTTCGCATTATATAAAATTCTGGAGTGGCGCCTTTTATAAATATTTTCATTTTAAATGACTTATGGCAATGGGAGGAGCTGTTTATTAGTTCTTATTTGTGCTATGCTGTAAGCGATTTATTTACATTGTTTTTATTAGTTCTCTAGTTCCGTTTAAGGCATGAATATTCATGCGAATATTAAATGAGTACAAATGTTGGTGTAATAAAGGTAACAGATTCCTTAACTTGGCGCAGACATTGACTGATGTTTTAATTAGTGGAAAAATAAAAATTACAATAAATTCTATAACTAACTAACTTAACGTATCTGATTTTAATTGTTTTTAAAGGGTTTTTGAACTAATTGTAAAGCTGCTTAAATAAAGATACGCACTCTATTCGTTAATTAGTTAATGGTAATTACAACAACTTTATGTAATTTTCAGCTAACAAAAAACTAAAATATTATGTGTGCAATCGAAAATTGAAATTCTAACTGGTGAATTTGTGTTTATTCATTACATTTAATTACTACAATAAAATCTATTTGGGCAAAAACCATTTCAGACATTTCACTAATGCACCGCATTCAGTGCTTCATTTCGAAATTCTCGCCTCATTTATTTTGGCTAATTATTGTAAAAGCCAAGCGACAGGAATGACAGTGGAAAATGTTTTGAATAGTCGCGAACAGAAAATGAAACCGTTGGCCACAAAATAAACCCGATTCGAGTGCACTCGAGTGCTGTCCGCTGCTGTTCCCAATATGGGCAACGTTGAGCGGCGTTTTTAATACCTGAATATTTGTGTGCATAAATCTTATGCTATCGATCATTGTCAAGTGGCTAGATAATTTACAATAAATCTGTGCGGCATTAGAATCCGACAGAGGCGCAACCAAGAGCTGCAGCAAAGCGAGCAGCATACAACATAAATTAGGATAATTACAATTGCACCCACAAGTGCCATTCGAGTCGTTGTGGTTGTTTTTGCTATTTGCCGCGGGGCAAGCAAGAATTTTGATTGCATAAACACCAACAGCAGCGGCAACAACAACAACCACTTGGAGTAGCCCAATAACATTTGCCGCAAAAAGTTTATGGCAAGCGAGTGGAAATGGAAATCCATTGGGCCGTCGCTGTGTTTGAAAATTAGCCCAAAAAATGTACAAACCATGGCAATTACAATAACACCAGCAACAACAACAACAACAACAACAATAACAGCAGCAAGAGCACTCAAATCAGGCAATGAAGCGAGAGGGTGCCAAGTGGAACTATCGCCACGGTGGCTCTGGTTTGCAGTGAGTGGACGTGCCGTCCAAAATCCACAATTAGGAGCCGCCGAATTTGGCCGCGAATGTTTGGCAACTCTTTTGCATACCCGGGCTTGGATTGAGTTCCACTGTCTCCAACAGCATGTTCAGTTAAATTAGTTGCCCAAGCGCAAATTCAGTTTAGCAACTCATCGGCAGTGCACCCGTTGGTTTGTTGTTGTGGCTGCTGGTTGGCGGTTAGTGGTTGGTGGTTGGTGGTTGGTGCAGGCGTTGCCATTCCTGCCGCAATTGACCAACAAGCCGCACAACAAAATCAATTAAAACGAATCGCTGAAGCAAAGTTCCACCGGCTTCGGCAACTCAAACTGTCGGCCAACTGCCAACTGTCGGTTCGTTCATCCGTGACTTTGCACTTTTACGACGGCAACGGCAGCGGCAGTGGCAGCGGCAGCGGCAGCAACAACTAACGGCAATTGCAATTCCAATTGGCTGACCACCCGCCCGCATCAGTTGACCAAGCTGAGCTTTTGGCTATCGCCGGGTTGCGCATGCGCAAAGGTGTTGCGCTCTTGCAATTGATATGGTTAATAATATTGCCCGCTGCCGACACTGAATGTGAGCATTTTGTAGGTTGTTGCTTGGCTGGCCAAAATAAATAACTATTTGATTGCAACAGCGTCGACTTGGCAAATACTCAGCTGGTAAATAAATAAAGCATCTCAAGCACTGAGATTCGTTTCCAAGTGATAAGTAGTATATGCACATGGACTTTAAATGAGTTTGACATATTCAACTATTAGACTGTGTAAGGGAAATAATCTTATTTTAACTGCACTTAATGTGATTTGTTATATAAAAAGATTTTACTAGAAAAATGAATGACATCTCTTAGAAATTTTAAATTAAACAATTGCCCAAACACTTGGTCAACTATTTGTAAAACTAACTTAATCGCATTTCAATAAAATCCGAAAGAAATCGACTGGATTATTAATTATGAGAACCAGCAGGGGCGGTGGTTCGGCGCACGCTGCAAACGCGCTCTCTACTTTAAGGTACCTTATTTTACAGATCTTTGAACCAAGGTTTGTGGTTCAAGCTTTAATTTTTCATTTGTTTCGTCCAATTTTTAATATATATATTGCCCGTTGTTCTGAAAAATGTTTTAAGCTGTACATATTTTCATATACAAAATACGGGCTAAATTTGATATGTATACAAATTTCTCCCTTGGAATTCGTTTTGCAGCCGTGATGAACAAATTCTTCAGCGGAACTCGCTCGAATTTTCAAATCAATTAAATTCCAGGTGCTAGTTTGAAATTTCTCAACTTGAGAATAAAACTATTATTTTCATTACATTTTGTATGCCAAAACTACGAAAAAAAAAAAATACTTAAATTCTTGATTTGAGGCCTTTTTTTTCCGAAGTTATCTACTTAATACAATTTCACAGGTATTCCCATTTTTTTTTTTTAGGAAATAGGATAAAGGCAGCTTATCCATGCATCGCTTCCCCGGTCGCACAGGTGCTTAATAGTTTTCTTTTGTTATCTTTTGGGCTTCCAATTACATAGAGTGCTGCAACTAGCAATTTATAAAGTAGCCAATATTGCGTTTGTACTTAATTATGGTGGCTATAGTACACATTCTCTTACCTTAGCCCGCTTTTGCAGGGTTCAGTGTGCTGCCAGTACCAATTATTGTAAGTTCCCATAAGTATTGATTAAAAAAAAAAAACTCATTGAACTCGACATTGCACACATCGATTAGTCACTCCATTCATTTGCCCGTTTTGTGTGAGCTGAACCTCAGCCATGACATTGACTTACAATTTGCTGGTATACGCAAAGTTGCCGCTAATCGACACGTTGCAAAGCTGCAACTGGTTTTGATTTTTGGCCGCACCTCAAGGCTGACGACCCGGAGATTGCGTATACGCAACGTGCGCCGCATTTGGCATAAATCTGGGTGCGTGTGTGTATGTGTTGTTGTCGTTGCTGCTGCTGATTTGCCACACTTGTCGCTAATAGCATTAACAAGTTGCGTTGTTTTCCATGCAATTTATTCGAATTCAATTTAATCCGCTGCATTTTCATTTGATTTTCAATTCGATTGCAGACTTTCACGCTTATTGCGGAAAACTTCATGTTGGGATTGCAAGTGACAATTCGATTGCCGCATGCCGATTATGCAAAATCGATTGCGGCAATTAGTTAGCAATAACCCAAAGAAAAAGCAGTAAATGGCATGTCAAAAGATTGCGGGCAATTAAAAAAGGACCTGTCGCCGGGGGGATGGCGCAGGCAGCGCGCAATTAGCCGCTTGCTGGAATTCCTGGTAAAATGCTATCCCCACAGGAAGCACCAGCTATCAAATTTCCACTACTTCTTGAAACTTGTCTGATGGTATATGTATATTTTACATTTTTGCGCTTCTGGCTAGCTTCACTTGCTCAATTTGCGTAGCTTAATTGGTCTTTAATTTCATGAGCTCTGCTGTCGGTCAGCTCTGGTCAGAAGTCAGCTTATAGCTTGGCCAAAGCAAAATTGATGCATTCCTTTGGGCCAATCTTAATCTCGACATCTCTTGCTGCTAATTAACCTTGAAAATCAGATTCGAGCAGTCAAAGGTCTGCCCGGGCAACTGCTGGTAGGTTGCTGCCATAGACCTAGACCTACCTATCCGATCAATCAATTGAAAAGTTTCAGCTGTGACCTTTGTTATTTCGTAGGCAGCTCGTTTGGCAGCCATTGTGGACATTTTCCGTTCCTGTCATTGCATAAATTTGAAAGTGAAACTGAAGCTGTCAGCTCTACGATTAGATAGAGATGCATAGGCGTAGAGAGAGGCATAAACGTGCGACACTTGAGCGACATTTTCTGTTGTTGTGGTTGTTGTAATTTTTTCTTTTCTTGACATTTAGATACAGCCATTTACTCGCATTTGACTGCTGTTGATTGGGCGTGGGTATGCAGAGGTGTCACCGACGTGACCTTCAAATAGGGCATAAATAATAAAAGTGCCTGAAATATGAGCAAACGTAAATTTGAAATGAAGGTTTTCCAGGCAAGCTGACATGTGGCCTGAGCGTTTATCAAAATACCAATTATATATATATTTTTTTGTTCGTGAATCCTTTCTCACAAAGCCAATTTGTTTAAGCCGTCAGAGTATTTTGAACGTATTGAATTATTTAATGATGCGGCTCGTTAAACTTTTATTGACACAAGGTATAAATAACGTTCGCTTTGTAGGCACTACTTAGTAGCAACAATTTGAAAAGCTTTTAAAGTCACCTTTTAAAGCTTCTTGTTATGCCGTCTGCTTACTATTATATTAGTTGTTAGGAGCTTTCAAAACACATTAAAGCTTTACATCTCGTAGAAAGATAGGTCACAGATTCAAAATTTACAAATACTTAGAATGCGTATAAAAGTTTTAAACTAGAACATTGTGTCTCAAAGTTAGTGGCTACTTAAAAGTAAATTTGAGCTTAAGTCAAATAAAAAGTTAATGATTTCACTATTTTTATGTGTCTTTCAACATCCTGTGCATAATTTGACCAACTTTTGCTGTGCTCAAGCTTTGCTTTACCCTACCCACGATAAAGTATTAAAATCTGCACCGTATTTTATAACATTTTATGCTGTACAAATTTAATGCCACTGTACGCTTCAACATCCTTAAAAGCGGCAGCAGCATCTCACCTTATTTTATACGCTCATTTCAGATGGCCATTGAGCAGAGCGGGGGTCAGAGCACCGAATCAATCCCAGCCTGGGCTACGCTCAGCGCTTGTTTGCTTAGTTTTTCCCAGCAGTCAACTCTACTTGCAACGGCTGCCATCGCACGTAGCTGCTTGCCCCATTAAGCCGCGTCGTCGCGACGTGTTGGGTTTGGTTTGGGGCACAGATTCCCTGGGTGGTCAGCTGGTTGCTGGAGTGCGCAACTCTGACTTTTTGGCATATTTTTATGCATGTTGGCTGACTTTATTTTTTGATTTTCTTTTTGTTGTTTGTTTCTGCTCTTAATATCAGAGGCCAAACAGTAAGCCGCGCCCCCAAAAAGTTGCCCGGCCGTCATTTCATTCGCTTGTGCGCACTTTATAGACATGAATTTGGACATAACAGCGTGGTGCATGTAGCTATTCACGTTGTTGCTGTGTGGTTTATGTGTCACTTTGTTTTTCATTTTTTTTTTTTGTTGGGTTTGTCCTGAAATGGATATCCATTCGTTATTTAGCGTCGTTTTTGCTCGCTTATCGTACGCCTGGAATTTTCATGTCAAATACGTTGAGGGTTAAAAACTCAACTGAAGCGCGAGAATTCGTTATTGTGCGGCACGTGCATATCCTTAGCCGAATTATCAGAATCTGGGCGGCTATCAATTTACGAGCCGAGACCCAAGTCATCCGCAGCTATAGGTGACCTGCGCTTCTCGTAGCACCTGTGCCGAATTGCCGCACAGTTGTCAGGCAACTGGCCTCAAACATTAAGGCGGCTCAAAGTGTTGCAAGCGCGCCACCCAAAAGACTGGTTTGAAGCGTGTCAAATTGCTTCAAGTTGTACGCCAGCTGCTGCTGCTGCTGCTGCGGATACAGTTTGTTGCCAGCCCGCAACTGGTCCACAAAATGCAATATTAATATCAATATCAATATTGGAGAACCAACCCACGCGTTCAACGGGCCACTGCACCCAAATCGCATCCCAAACAAATTGCCTTCTAATGCGCTGCACACAACTGGCCAATCAGTCATTTTCCACAGCAACATTTTTAATTTGTTTTCTATGCAGCTTAAGTCGCGACATTTGCTTGGCCCTTGCAGCAGCAGCTGGCAATTATCTTGCAGCAACCCGGCTTGTGACAGATGCGGGCCAGATGCCAGGCCAAAACTCTGCGCCTCCTTTGCTATTCAATCCACTCCCCCTCTTTCTCTCGCCCTTCCGCTCTCTTCCAGTAACGCCTTAATGATAAGTTAGCAACTTTTTGTGCCGTCCGTGTCCATAATTTTCGTAATTTCATGTTAGGGCGGCCACCGTTGATTGAATTGAATTATCTGCCACTCAGCGCGTATAGCGAAGCCAAATCCAATGCAAGTCCAAATAGAAACTGCAAGTGCATAGCGATCAACTGAGACGGTAAATGCTTGTTTATGGGTGGCAGTTCAAGTCTTAGTTCGATCTTAGTTTGCAACGCTTTTTATCTGTGGCAATAATTGAAGGCAATTAAATTCATAAATTTTAATGATTTATTTTAGCTTTGCACGCTTAGCACATTGCATTAATTCTTGAGCTCAATGTACAGGGTGTTTCCGCTAGACAAATAATATAACTACAAGTAGCTGTGTTTGGAGGACACTTTAATTCAAGGAGATTGACGCAGCATTTGATTGGAACCAAATTAATTTTAAAATTTAAATTTAAATTTAGTTTCAGCCAGTTCTCAAGTATCAGCTATCTGACTTAGAAAACTGTTAAGCTTTGGAATTAGTTTTTAGCAGCTGTATTAATATATATTAGATAAATCTCATGCTAGTACTTTACCTTTAGCTGTTTGCCACTGCATACATATATCATTATATATAATTTAGAAATATGATATACCTGTTCCCACATATTCAAAAGCATCTAAGTCAAGCTTCAAGAAGAAAACCATGAAGAACTTCTTTAGATTTTTAAAATGTGGTCTTGGCCCAGCTCAGTTCCCTTAAAGAAAAGAAGGACAAATGGCGATTGAAGCAGCTAATACTGCTAATACTTCATCCCCGTTTAAGCGCATACACCGTGTGTTCATGCTGTATAACCGAATCCACAGCAGAAAGAAACATCCTGTATTCACATATGCAATGATTGCTCAGCAATTAGCTAAAGATAATTAACTGAAAATATTTGAAGCAACTGCTTGTGTAAGAACAAATAGCACAAGACACATGAAGGTAACAAAATACGAAATACACCTATGCACCCATTCATTGGGCGCAAAGTCACACCCCACGGTGCGCGTCGACTGCATCCGCCTGGCCAAAAGTCAGCCAAAGAGTGGCGGTCGCGCTTCACTGCACCGCTGAGCAAAGCGGAGCAGCAGTTGCTTTAATGACTACCAAATAACCAACCAAAACTGAGTCGATTGCAAGAATTTCAATGCCAGCTGCGGTTCGGTGATGCGTGTCAAGTCCGAAGAGGTTTGCTGTGATTTCCCAGGCTAGACTGACTTGGTTTAGAATTGCGCTGGTGATTGCCACGTGGTATTCTGGCTGCGTCGTGTGGTGCTGCATTTTATTGTCTTTGCTGGATAGCATTTGAATATTAATTGGTTTTAATTGCAGCGGGCCAAGTGTTGGCGTATTCATTTGCCTAATGATCCAGCAGGTTGAACATTGGTCAAATGCTCAGCTGGTCAATTGGCTGACTGGTTATGTGGCCAACACCCGCGACCACTTTGTGGTAGAATTCGCTATAATTATGTTGTTTTACAGCTAGTGCAATTAATTAAACATGATTTGCTTATGAATATGGATTGTCGAACTGCAAGATAAACGACTGCACGCAACACCTGCCGTATAATACGTTGGCAACAACTTCTCAAAAATGTATTTATATCCCAAATAAACGATTACTTTTGATAGCTACAAATCTGAACGAGAATAACTTAATGTTCGGCAACAGTCGACAAGACATTTGGCTTGCAATTTACTGCCGCATTTTGTGTTTTGTATTCTCCCATTTTGTTGAATGCTACAATTTGCATATACACATATTCGCATACATATATATATATGTACTGATAAATAAGAACAAATGGGAAGCAATTGCTAACGCCCACGCCTACCGAGTATTGTCATACTTATGACCGTAGCTGTATGTAAGTGTCTTGAGTTTGTGACTAATTGTAGGGCATTGAGGGCCCTGGCATGACACCTTTTGCTGAATCTCTTGAGTTTGCAGCTGCTTTTCAAGAATTTCCCTTTTAGTATTTATTTTTTAATTGTAGCATGGAGGGTATTCTGAATGCCATTAAACTTAAGTGCTAAATGTTCACAGAGCGTATACGTAATATATTTACTCTAATGGAATTTTACAGATATATAAATCACATTTGAAAGGTCTTTTCAAATAGATTAATATATAAAAATGTTGCAAAAAGGAATTTTCATTTTGTTAGAAAGTCTTGTGCTCAAATTAAATTATTCAAATTGGTTATTGCACAATTTCCAAAGAATTGAGCTCTATGATTTAACACGATTCATTTATTTTAGATTGGTCTTCAATATTAAGAAAAGCAAATAGGTGTTAATCTATGTTGAAAAGCACTAGCTTTATCATAAATTAAGTGTTGCGAGCGAGTATTTAAATATTTCGCAAAACCAATCCCATTTCCCACTCGTTTAGCCTGCTGCCATATAATTTAAGCTATATCAAATCTAATTAAATTTTGTAATACGCTAATATAGTGTCATTTCGCCTGTAAATACAATTCGCTGATATATGCTATTATTTTATTAACACTTTTATCCAGTTCTTGATTTATGCACATATGCCGCACAGCTTTGCGTGTAGCGCACCCATATGAAATGATAATTATAGCTCACAAATTGCAGGATAGGTGGGCATACACAAATCTGTAGATTGCACTTGAGCAGTTCAGCCCACATATGTCAGCAAAAGAAGCAAAAAACAGAAAACGACAAGTATACAAAAACTAATAAAATGAAAACGAAGGTGACAACGGGAATATAATTTATAATGTTGCGCATGCTGCAAAAATGTCAAAACACACCCGCCACGCCCCCAAGCAAACACAGCACACGTATGTATATTTTGTAGGGGGAGTTCAAGAGAGTAAGCTGCATTTGGTTTATTTAAATGAAATTGGCGCTGACGTTGCATTTGAGGCAAGCTAAATTAAGTTGCGGCTATGTGTGCCACATGCAACATACACACACACACTTACACATATGGAGCAGCAATGAATGGCGCCTATCGAATGCAAATGATCAAACTCTCTGTGCGGCGTTCGTTATTAAATGTGTTTCTTGTGTTGTGTGTGGCAGGTAAAACAATAAGGCAACAACATCAGACGTTGCAAAGTGTGGCAAATGCAACATCAAGATTGAATGAACTCCAAAGAAATGCTGCAACATGTGGCAACAACAGCAATACTCTATTTTATGTCTTTTGTTTTGTGCGCTGCACTTTTGTTTTTAATTTGCAAACTTTTCGTTTCTGCCCGTTTTCGATGCAGTTCAATGATTAAAGAGGCAAAACGCCCAGAAATTGGTTTACAATTTTTTTTTTGTTTTATGATTTTTGCTTGTGGCCCGTGGCATGTTGCAAGCTGTGGCAATTGCAGCTCCCTAAGCGTCGCACTAGCTTTAAAAAATTCATAAGAATTTTTTAATTTGCTGCCCATGCCGCCAAATACAGGCCCCTTGTTAGCGGTTGATGTGAGCGCTTGCGGGCGTGGTCTGTGGGCATTTTTTGGTTTTTGTTTTTTATTTTTGCTTTTTTTGGAAAGGCACGCGGCGATAAGATCGAACATAAACTGTATACACACCAAATAATGAGTACTAATTGTCCAATGCACGGAAGTTCAATTGCCCACACATTCGAAAAGCGTTCACAATCAGCCGAAACACATAAAAAAAAACCCGCCAAGATAGCAATTAAAATTCTTTTCCGACGTGGCCATAACGCTTGAGTCAATCGAAAGCAAGGTCAGGGCAGCATTTGCAGTGACAAACGCAAAATGCAGCAGCTATTGGCTACACACATCGCGTATGGGTATGTGTGCCTATAGCATTTTTATAGCTATAAACCCGCTAAAATGTGAGCCGTATTAGCTGTGTGTCTGGCAACATTCATTGGCAACATTCATCGCTCGTTTCGGCTGCCACTTCGGCTTTTGGCTAAAACCCGCTTCGAGCCGCGATTAACGCTGTAATTCGATTACTCTTGTGCCACATTGTTCTGCTATTGCTCTCATTGTAGTTACTGTTATTGTTGCATGTGTGTCTCTGTGTGTGTGTGTGTGTGTGTGTGTGTGTATTTGTTGCTCTGGTTATTACTTGTGCTTTTGTCTTTGGCTTGCGCAGTCGCCGGCGTCTCAGCCGACGCTGTCTCTGGCGGTATATATTAGAGCCGCCAGCCGACAGTCAGCACAGTTCGTTAACAGTCCTAGTCGAGATTCTAGGAGGTTCAACCAGCGTCCAACGACCAGTGACTGTGTGTGTCGTCGTGTGTGTGTAGTTTGTTTTCTGTTACTTCCCAGCTAACCCAAATCCTTTAAGCGGCCAACTACCGTATCTAAGAAAAGTCAACTCAACTTGTGATTAACATTTTGTGAACAAATATGAAGCCATTTGTAAGTAAAAACAAGCTGTGCTTAAAAAATAAAATGAAAATAAGTTATAAAAATATTTGGAATAGCGTGTGAAAAGGATAATAAGCTGCAAGTTATGTGCCAAAGGCACAGTGAGTGAGAGTATATTTGGGAAACTTTATAGTCCTGATATGACTAGAAAGGGTCTTTGAATAAAACTATTTACTTTTTATAGTAGCTAGTTTAAAATTGTTCCAGTTTAAAAATAACTGACCTGGATATATTAAAATAATAAATTTAAATAGCGTGATAGATTTTTCAAAATGGAAGCCATACATTTGTTGCCTTTTGCTTTTTTCATAATCTGCAATGTTCATCTATTTCTTAGAATTATAAAAAATCGTATACTATACAGCAGTACATAGTAGCATATAGGAATGTTCTGGGTGTCTACTAATAAATAATATCAATAGCAAAATAGAATTCAAAGTTTACTTAGAAAAAAATACAGTTTTTCCAAATAACGCTTAGCGTTTACTTGGAAAAAAGAGTTCTATTCCGATCTTTTATTCTAGAGTCCTTTTTTAATAAAAAATTTTAGTTTCCCGGGAATGTTTTAATCTTATTAAATCAAAATATGATATTGTAAAGTGTACAAGTTTAGCGAAATTTGTAGCGTTTTTTCTTTGAACATCACTAAGAATAAGCTGCGGGCTGTTTTACATGATTTAGCTGCAGGCCAAGTGATACAGAAATCAGAGACAGTTGCCATCAACCACAACAAATTTCAGTTGATAAGCCGTTGACATGTTGCATGTCGGTTAGTTTCGGCATCCTCAGGCAGCTCCAAAGCTGCTCCACATAATAATGGCCTCGTATGCGGTAATATTAGCTACTTGGCTGGGTGGTACGAGTATCTCGAATCGAAATCAAATCAAACGTTTCGCATGACGGCGCTTAGCAACAGGCCAGAGATATGTAAGAGAGGCGTGTGTGGTTTGTCTGAGCCTCTCATTAGAGGCGGTCGGATTGCCAGCCAGGCGAAAGTGAAGCGAAAGAGAAATTGTTTTACAGACTGACTGACCAACTGACTGACTGACGAGCACTATAATTGCGCTGCCAGGTTGCTCCAGCTGTTACGTATCAGCATCAACTATGGCATAAGCTCGGCTAGCTCCTAATTATACTCTTCCACTCTCATTCTCTCTCCATTTCGACAACAGTTGCTTGCCGCCGCGCTGCTCATCTCGACTGTGTCCGCCTCTTGGCATGGCGCTGTCTCCACACAGTACCAGCATCTGGACCCTCATAGCCACACCTATTCGTACGGTTACGCTGATCCCAACTCACAGAAGCACGAGACTCGTGCTCATGATGGCACCACGCGCGGCTCCTATTCCTATGTCGATGGACACGGCCATCTGCAGTCCGTGGCGTACACAGCAGATCCGCACCATGGCTTCAATGCCGTTGGCACCAACCTGCCACAAGCTCCAGCCGTACACCATGCTGCTCCCGTTTATGCCGCCGCTCATTCCGCCTACGTGCCATACGCTCATCATGCGCACGGTATCCACATCCCGGTGCTGACCCACGATGGCGTGCCTGTAGACACACCCGAAGTGCAACACGCCAAGGCTGCCCACGCTGCTGCCCATGCTGCTGCTGCTCACAATGCTGGCGCCCATCATCTGTACAAGCGTTCGATCTATGGCGGTGCCTGGGCCTACGGTGGTGCTCCTGCTCACGTGCCCCTCACCCATGGTGGCGTCCCAGTCGATACTCCTGACGTGCAGGCTGCGAAGGCCGAACACTATGCTGCACATGCCAAGGCTCTGGGTCAAGTGGCTCATGCTCATGGCGCTCCCGTCGAAACTCCTGAGGTGCAACATGCCAAGGCCGCCCACTTTGCCGCCCATGCTGCTGCTCGCTCTGGCCACGCCATCGCTCCCATTGCCCACGGTGGCTACCATGTGCCTGTCATCCACAATGGAGTGCCCGTCGATACGCCCGAAGTACAGCACGCCAAGGCCGCCCACTATGCCGCTCTTTCTCAGGCCTCTGCGCACGGCAGCTCGCACAGCTCCTGGGATGATGGTCACTATGATGGTCGCTGGGACGCCAGCCACGACAGCCACGCCCAGAGCTATGCCACCGGCTATGCGCATAAGGGTCCCATCCACATCCCGGTTATCCATAACGGTGTGCCCGTGGAGCCCGCAGAGGTGCAGCATGCGCGCGCCGCTCATCTGAGCGCCTTGGCAGCGGCCAGTCACGGCGGCTCCTCGCACGGCGGATACTACGGCGGCTCTGC